ATCGGTGAGTGGGTTCGCGACTGATGACAAAGGACAAGGCAGAATCGCACCAGGTCAGGTACCATACCTTTCTTAATAGATACCAGAAGTCGCGTGGGAGTTGTTAGCCCTGGTGCATTTGCTGGTAAAGTGTAAAGTCGTGTCGATCGTAACAGGAATGTTGCTTCAAAGGGCCAAAACAAACTCGAATTGAGCGTCCACAAGGGTCAAGGCCAAAAAGGTATAACGAAGGGATACAAACGTCAACTCAAAGAGCCAAAAGAGCCAGGGAATAGAGAAACAAAGAAAGAGGTGAAGAAGAGAAGCGAAACCTGATATGTTTGACTCTATTGAAGTGGATTGTTACCCCAAGCAAAGAGTGTTGTCGCGGCAGTCGCTGGGGCAACCGCTGGGCCCAAGCAAGCTGAAACTGCTGACTCATATGGATTACGTCAGGCCAGTGATCTGCGCTAGTCCCAGACAGGGATAGCGCCTTGGATCATCGCAAAAAAAACATCTGAACAGTTTCTGGCCTCTCCGTCACGACTGAGTCTTTGGATTTTCGACTTCATTGCTAGTGTTTCGGAACAATGCCTTTGCCAGTACCATACTCGATATGTTTCGCATGCCAAACTAGAGCTACCCTCTTCCCATCGATCGTGTCGACATCATGGCAGGCAACGCGAGGCATGGCCTCCGTTCGAGTACGTCGCAAGGCTGCCCGTATGGCCCTATCTCCCAATGTCTCTAGGCAATCTATGCCTCCACCGGACAAGCCCCGTTCTTCAAGATCACGCGCCGGACCTTTTGCCTCGATGAATCAGACTGAAGCACGAATTCGGGACACTCCACGAGCACGATCCCAGGCGGCCCTTAAACGTTCAGGGGAGGAAGGCAAGGCGGAAAAGAAGGATAGCCCACTTTATAAGGCGTTGAAGATGCAAACGATGCTGTCACCAATCAATTACGGCAAGCGTGCTGCCGTCAAGGCCAAGCTTGCCAGTCTGGACAGTTTCGACCACTTCCCTCTCCTCCCAGCAGTGCGACAATCGATCTTCCTTCAAGCTCTGCCTGGTCTCTCCGATATCCAGCCTACGCCGATCCAACGGCTCGCGATCCCCGAGCTCCTTAAAGAAGAGCCTAGGAAAAGGCGTCACGCAAAGAAGACGGATGAAGAAGAATACCCTTACGACCAGTACCTTTTGGCAGCGGAGACCGGTTCAGGCAAAACCCTTGCATACTTGCTCCCAGTCATCGATGCTGTCAAGCGTGCTGAGGCTCGTGAGAAGGAGGAAGACAAGGCCATTGAAGAGCAAAAGGCACGGGAGCGAGAGGAGAGAATGAAGAACAAGTCATTCGATCTGGAGCCTGAGGAGCCGCCTATGACGAATGCCGCTCGTCCGCGTGCCATCATTCTTGTCCCAACTTCTGAACTGGTTTCTCAGGTCGGAGCCAAACTCAAGGAATTGGCACACGCAGTCAAGTACCGCTCCGGTGCCATCGCAGCAACCTTCACCCCTCGTCGGATTTCAAACGCCATCCTCCACCCAAACGGCATCGACATTCTTGTTTCAACCCCGCATCTCCTAGGTTCTATTGCGAAAACGAATCCCAATATCCTCAGCCGAGTCACTCACCTCGTTCTCGATGAAGCCGATTCTCTGATGGACAAGTCCTTCATCCCAACAACCACCGAGATCATCTCCAAGGTCACTCCGTCCCTCAAGAAACTGATTCTTTGCTCGGCCACCATTCCCCGCAGTCTTGACAACCAGTTGCGCAAGCGCTACCCCGATATCAAACGACTGACGACTCCCAACCTCCACGCCATTCCTCGTCGCGTGCAGCTGGGTGTCGTAGACATCGACAAGGAGCCGTACCGCGGCAACCGAGACCTCGCTTGTGCCGATGTCATCTGGTCTATCGGAAAGGCAGGCGAGAGATCCGATCAAACGGAGACATGGGGACCCCTCAACGCATACATGGACCCGAAGATCAAGAAGATCATCGTATTCGTCAACGAGCGCAAGGAAGCAGACGACGTCGCCAACTTCCTCCGAACAAAGGGTATCGATGCCGTTTCTCTGTCCCGTGACACCGACTCCCGAAAGCAAGAAGAAACCCTCGCCGAGTTCACCGAGGTGAAACTCCCTCCAACCGCCGAGGAGATCATGCTCCAAAAGAAGAACGCCCGCGCCTCCAAGAGCATTCCCTTTGAACTTCCTGAGCGCAAAGAACCCATCCGCAAGCTTGCCGACACCAAGGTTCTCGTCACCACCGACATCGCCTCCCGTGGTATCGACACCCTAGCCGTCAAGACAGTAGTCCTCTACCACGTGCCCCACACAACCATCGACTTCATCCACAGACTGGGTCGTCTCGGCCGTATGGGCAAGCGTGGCCGTGGTGTCGTCTTGGTAGGCAAGAAGGACCGCAAGGACGTTGTCCGCGAAGTCCGCGAGGGTATGTACCGTGGACAGGCGCTGATCTAGATCCACATATGCATATATGTCTACCTCATTGTATAAATTTTGTATCATAGATGGCGTTAATTTGAGGTTTTGATTTTTGGGAACTGGAAAACGACTATACCCATTGTCATTGTCATTGCAATAGTCGGATCATTGGAAGTCTGTACGATATGCAATCATATATAACGAGCTAATTCATTCTCTTGTCGATATTGAAAGTTGATTCCAGTTGTAGACTCAGCAATAGCGTCTTTTCTAGTCGTCTTTCACACAGGTACCTCCTTCGCCAGCTTTCGCCAGAAGTCACATCTCTTCTTCAACTGATCCAGCTTTACATTCTCAAAACCATCATCCACAATAACAAATTCCTTTTTGGTGCGCTGTAGCTCCGGTACGCCAGGCTGCGAAGCATTCGTCACCTTGTGGGCATTTGGATCACCAGTCTGGAAGAAACTCGAGAAAGCCCCAGCATAGCCTTCGTACACGACGGGGTTAGTCTGTTGAACAGCATTGATACGATTCCACTAAGATCAATCAAGTCAGCCTGTGCATCCAAACAAACACATATCCAAACGGAAACAGAAAGGAATAGGAACACACATAGATAGTATCGCTCCCATGCGTCGCCGGCGAAATAGTATACTCCCCAAGATACCCATTTCTACTAGCAGCCGAAGCAATCCAATAAGCCGGACAAGCCAGCACAACATCCCGATAAACCAACCCAGCCCTAACAAGGGAAGTATTATACTGCGCAATCGTCTCCGTACTCCCAACAGCTGGGTAATAAACAGACTCGACTTGTTTGATCTGCTTCGCTGATAACCCAGGTACAAATCCAGTAAGCCAGCTTTGGAAACTTTCAATTGAGGAATTGAATCCATTCACTGAGACTGCACTGTCAAGACCTGACGGTACGAAGTTCTGTCCCTCGTGGCTGTTGTACATACCCCAGACGAACTCCGTATTCAGGGAGTCGCTATTGACAGCTTCTGTGAGCGTCTCGGTGAGGAAGGTCCCGTCTATCACTGGGGCCCAGGTGTAGGAGCTCGTTGTCCAAGTGTGGCTTGCGGCAATGACGAGGTTTGCGTCGCGGATTGTTTGCACGTCTACGGATTTGAGGCAGGAGATTGTTTCATGGTCATTTTTGAAGCCGGCACAGCCTGTCAAGTTGACGAATTGGGTGTAAATTGCCTCTGCTTGCGGTGCGTCGTAGTCATAAGTCTTCGGCCAGAAGGGTGAGCTAGCAAGGGCTTTGGAGAAAAGCTTCGGCTGGCGGTTTCGTCCATTTGCGAGAACTTGGGCAACGACCGAGCCTGCACCAGCTGACTGGCCCCAGATTGTTACATTCTTGGGATCGCCGCCGAAATTATGGATGTGGCTTTGCACCCATTTCAGGACGTATTGTTGGTCCAGTAGGCCCGGGTTTAGATCTGAAGTCGATGATTCCTTGATTGCTTTTCCGGGTAAGAAGCCAAAGGCATTGACGCGATAGTTTGAATAAATCACGACGTAGTCATTGAGACTGCTCACGTTCAGAATTGGGAATGAGGATGGTGGCATGGTGAAAGCGGCGCTGCCTTGGATGAAGGCTCCACCGTAGAATACGACCAGTACTGGTCTTTTTGTTTTCTTGGATAGATCCCATGGCCGTGAGAACAGGCCTAGATACAGACAATCTTCGCTTCCGTTGACTGTGCGCTGGGGGCACATGTCGAAGTCTTGGTTTGTGTCATAGCTGCCTCCGATGATCTTCTGTGGAGGTTGAGGCGCGCGGAAACGGTTCTCGCCTGCTGGTGGTGAAGCAAATGGGATCTTGCGGAAATATGAGAGGTTGTATGTGCTGTCATATTGGCCCTGGAAGGCTCCGTAGTCGAGATTCACTAGAGGATTGTCGTATGCGGCGCTGGCGGTGGTACCCAGGCCGATGAGAGGGAGAATGAGCGAGGATAGTCTCATTTTCAAGGTCAGCAGGCTCTGGTATTCTTGCTATTATTCCATGCCATCTGACATCGGTTTTCTCCGGGCTGTAGGCCATATATAGTCTGTCTGGGCAAGGGGAAACAATCATCTCACTGGGCAAGAGAATCAGGTTCGGCAGAGAAAGCTCCGGAAGTCCCTGCATTCTTGTCAAGAAACCCCAGCCGTTTCCAAACAGACGATGTGAAAAAGACAGTATGGGGACAGCTCATTGGTGCAGTTATTGTTCATGCTGCCCGATGAGACGAAATGCGGGGGGACAGCAGTGGCCTTGTTCGTTCGGTGTTGAACATCCCGATACATCTGCAGTGCTGAATAACATAGATTATAGCTATTGAATAGTACATGTCCCAGATATGTTCATAGTCAACGCCTCCACCGGAGTCCCATGCAAACAACCCTCAACCAACTTGCAATCCTGAAAATGCATCCTTATAAGAAATCCAAACAACTAATTCAATCGCAGTCACGCTATATATAGTACTCGGGGGAATTGTCTCCCCAAAACGCCGTTCCTCGTGAACCAAAACTCCGTCTTTCCTCTTCTCATCGTGGATCCAATGCCTTCCTTTACATAGTCATGCGAAGTTCTCTAGTGCGACGCCGACTTGCCCGAGCATCGCGACGAGACTCGTTCGTGTCGCTCGTCTCTGCTTCGGGGGTATTTGTATCTGACAGTTCTGGGGTTGGGGTGATTCCAAAACTGACACCCCGTCCTCGGCGACTGACGCGGGATTGTGCGTCAGGGGACAAGAAACGATGGACGGTGCGGTGATCCATAACTCGATCTTCGCCATCGGGGCTTTTGTCGGTGTATGGCCATTGGAATCCGTACAGCTTGGAATGGCGCTCGCAGCGAGGGCATTCCCGTCGTGTCAGGTACGAGTTGGACTGAACGAACCAATTATCACAGGTCTGACACTCCACCCAGCGATCGTATCTCTGAGCAAGCAGTCTGGAGGTCTTAGTGTAGTCTCCGGGAACTCGGGCAATCTGCGATTCGGTCTCGACAGAGTCAACAATGAATCGACGCCTGCTCCACTTTTTCCGGGTTTTGGGTTTTTCGGCAGCCGAGGGTGTTTCATCTAGTTCAAGGGATTCCGATAAGTCTAGCTGTTCTTCCTTTGGGGGTGTGTCCTTGGGAGGAGTCATGAGGGCGAGCTGACCTTCGGCTGAGGTTTCGGCATGATTTTTGCCGTTTAATGTTGCGGATTCTGTCTGGTTTGACTCTCCGGTCTCCTCTGTCTTAATCTTCATTCCGATGTCATCGACGGTTGTCGCGGTGGTTGACGTTGACGAACGGTGAGACTCTTCGGCGTTAGACTCGGGAGATTCGCAATCTGCGTGAAGGGGGGCCTGCGAGCTCCGGGCCTGCCTTGTATCGCCTGAAGCAGCCATGTTTGGCTGTTCCGATTCTGTGGCTAGTGGTGGGAGTGGTGAATCAATTGGTGTTGGCACTGGGGATAGGTCTGTGAGCTCCTGCCTCAATTTGGACGCCTGAGGTATGGCTCCTGTCAAAATAGGAGTTGGAGCGAGTTCAGTGTCCGGGGTAGTGACAAGGTCTGTCTCGGATGTTGAGGCTGATTCACCAGCGAGCTCAGAAACGGAGATCTCTTTTCGCAATTTAGACATTTGTCGCTGAAATTTGGCTCGCTTTCGCGGAGTAGAGCAAGACACGGTCGAAGAAGTATCGGAGTCCACTTCAGAGCTGCGCCGGCGTTTCCTGCTCCCCATACTGTCTTCGACCGGAGAGGCTTCAGTCGACACGGGACTTGATTCTTTGCTGTTCTGGTCCGAATCAGCTTGGGGAGACCAGCCATTGCGAACAGCCCGTTCGCAGGTGAAGCACAGACATTCGCAGTTATCAATGCCAAAATAATCCTCTCCGTAAGAAACCGTGATCTCTTCTCCCTCGTAGATGTCGCGCATGGCCAGAACAGACATGCCTTCGTTTCCACGCGTTGCCAGGCTCCCGTTTGCATCACAGTCGTGATTGGCAAAGCGAGCAGGGCCCAAGAAGAAAGACGGGGTTTTACGCCGACTCGACATCACAATACTGAAGTCTTTGCGGGTCAGTCCAAGATCCATCTCCTCTTCACGGGTCATAGACACGAGTGTTCCACTCAGGTATTTGATCTCTTCGCCCTTTTTGATGAACCTGCGAGCGCAGATCGCGGCTTCATGTTGCGTGATAATGTATCGGTTGGTGGTGGTGACCTCGAACGGGCAGTCTGGGAGATACATCTGGATGTATTTGCGGAGATGTCGACGAAACCATTCTTTTTCGCGGGGACTGGGGAGATTCGTCAGGTATTTCTTAAGTCCTGATATCTCCAGCAGCTGGCGCTCGGCACTTGTGATATCTCTATCGACAATAACATCGTGGAGAAGAATGCGCCCAATATCGTCGTCGTGGATACCGCGGGCAGGATTGTACTTGGTGCGATTCTTGCGTGTAGTGGTCCAAAAGTAAGCCTATGAGAGGCTTGCGTCAGTCAACAGAGTTCTTTGTTGCATTGTGGGCAAAGGGCGTACGTGATCCACCAGCGCATCTGTTGCGACATCGTCATAGCTGGCCAGTTTGGCCAGGGTCAGGCGCTCGCGACGTTCAGCCGCTGGCGAGCTGTTACGCGCTCTCCTTGGAGGCATAATTGGCGTAGCAAATAGAGAAAAACCGCTAAAAACCAAAGCGGCAGAAAGGAAGTGGTATCATGGAATGCAGAACGTGTGCAAAGGGCGGTTGAACAGCGGAGGCCAGCGGAGACCTGCCGAAGATCCAAGGAAGGGAGAAAGGGTTCGGGGAATGCTGTCAGATTCAAAGCGAGGATGATAAAAATGAGTGACTGAAGGAAATTAGAGTGAAGTTGTCGCCATTGAGTCCAAGGGAAGAGGCCCTCTCGCAACGAGGCTTAGTTTTAGGGGCGGAACCAACGCTCGGTAGTGAGACCTGGCCGCCTTTCCCTTGCCCTTCCCCTCCGGTTTTGTGACAATAGGTCAACAAGGTTAAGGATATATATGTTTTATTAAGTCCCTTGCCTTGGCTGCCTGCAATTACGCGCTCGAGCTACATTGTACCTGTATGCACGGAGCGTCACGCCTCTATGCTGCATCACGCGAATCGTCAGGGCGCTGACTCCAACTGTCTTCTTAATGATAACCCATTCTTGTATTTGGTTGATATTAGACAGAGCTATGTATTATTAAGATGCAAATGCCAGATGCCATATACCACATCTAAGAAAAAAGTAATGGGAAGTTCTCGGTATTAAGTCTGCCATTCCTTCGTGCTGAACATATATAGTCCGCGTGTACCTTAGACCTCATATAAAACCACTTACTCACTGATGTGGATTTGAAATTGCGTTTGCGCAAAGGGGACTAATTACGCAAAAGAAAACAGCAGATCTCATAGGTCTACGAGTAAAACGAAGGATAAGGCATGCCATAAGTCATAGGCCGTGAGTCCTTTCACACCGGCACCTTTATATGATCTGTATGACTGAGCCCAGACACCCAAAAATGAGCAAAGGAAGAGGTGACAAAGGAGAAGCCGAAATACCGCGAAAGCAATGCATGAAATGGTATACTCGCTTCGAGGCTCTCATCTCCGTGGCACTGTGTACACATTTATGACCCCTGTTGTAGGATGCTTATCAGCAAGGTCGTTTTACCCAGACTACTTGGCCAGTTGCATATCAAATATTACATTCTTCTCTCAATGCGCAAAATAGAAGACTAAACATCCCAATGATGGAATAATAGCAGCACTAACGTTAGACGTAGCAACTTGGATTTGTATAGAGTCAGATAGGCTCGGATAAACTTACTGTCCGGGGAAACCTCCCTCCGACCGCGAGAACAAATTGTGGACGAAGCAACAACGACAGATCAAGCAGCCACAATGATTCAACTAAAGGTACGGACCTATACCTCTTAATTGAGAATATGAAACTGACAGACTGCATGCTAGACACTATTAAATTGCATTGACAACTCCGGCGCCTCGATCGTCGAGTGCGTGAACGTGCTCAAGAAGAAGCGGCCCGCGACAATCGGTCAGTCTCCGCGGCACCCGATCCAGCATGGAATACAGAAGAAATGGACAGAAAGGCTAACATCAATGGCGCAATAGGTGATCGGATAGTCGTCGTCGTCCAGAAGCAGAGATCCGCAGGTTCCGAAGCCACGACCGCCGCTGCGCTTGCGAACAAGGTCCGCCGTGGTGATATCCGACATGCCGTTGTTGTTCGCGTGAAGAAGGAATTGCAGCGCCCTGATGGCTCCCTCGTCCGATTCGGTGATAATGCTTGTGTGTTGGTCAACAAGTCCGGAGACCCCATTGGGACAAGAATGAACGGTTAGTGTTTCTGGGAGTTTAGAACTAAGCCCATGTCTACATTTTGGATACTGACGTTTATACAGGAGTCGTCGGCCAGGAGCTACGGAACAAGCAGTGGTCCAAGATCTTGTCGTTGGCACCGGTGCACGTGTAAGATCCACACGAGATTCTACATTTGTTGGAGAGCGCTGTATTCTTTTTCCTTTGGCAGAATGTTTCATTTCAATTCTATGTATCAATAGCAACCCGCATCATACCAAAGTTCCGTTCGAAGTCAGTATATGCTTTTTAGATTGCCGATCGCCAAACTCCTGTATGCATCTTCACTCGGAAAAAAATCGCAGAAATAAAAAACTAATAAAGGGTATCGGGGATCGCGTAGACCGTATCGTAAGAGGTTATCACATGTAGACATTACCGCATGCACAACAGACGTAGTAGAGTTTCTGAGTGAGAGTAGTGACATGGTCAGCGCATAGTCTCCTTGGATATCAGAGCAGGATCGGGTCTCACCATTCCGGTTTCAGCAGATCGTTGTTGGGACTGGAAAAAAACGGCTTCGGTTTCACCGCAACTCGGGCAAAGCTTGTTGGCACGAGGAAGCTGCAATCGAGGAGAAATCGTACGTTAGCCACTGAACGCCCAGTAATTATCAAAGTAGCCGGCGCTGAGCCAGGAGTCGGTATCCGAGGAGTTCAAGCTGTCGGTGTTGTCCGCAACACGCGCCTCATCAGGGTCCGGGCCGCAGGCAGAACATGTGATTTCCTCGCCGCATAGGGTACAGAAACCAGGGAGACAAACCGTGGGATCGGAGCCAACATCCTGGGTGACACCGGCAGTATCGCCGACTTGGCTGTGGAGCTTGTTCTGGTAGACGCAGTAGGAGGAAGCGGGCTCGCCGACATGACAAGTTCGGCAGGTGAACATCAGCTGGTTGGTCACGCGGTCTTCCTTGGGGTACAACAAGTTGGAGCTATGGAGAGTATTAATGAGTTTCCTTTTACATGCGCTACGTGAGATATAGCTCAGAAAAAACATACCATTCGCGACAGAACTTGAAATGGATCTGGTCGGCTTGCTTGGTCTCGCCACCGGCGGAGGGCGAAGGGCTGGACATCTTGGAACGGGATGTGTCCGGATTCAGGTTGAAGCTTCGAGATAGAGGGTCACGAGGGGGATGAGTGAACAGAATGTAACCGAAATGCAGCAAGACCTAAAGTGATATAAAAGACTGTCAACTCGTTGGCGTCGATTGGCCGAGACACGCTAACCTTATTTGGGAATAGGCTCAGCTGCCGCAACCAATTATTAATCCGGCAGAATCGGATCTATTCATTGTATTGAGAGAAAGTTTGCTTATAGCATTCAAATCTGATATTTAGTATTCATTCCGATATATATTTCATTTGAGGTATGCTCTACGGTCAGCCGGCCACTTCTTAAAGGCCAAAACTCTAGATACTTCGGCCATATAGTTGGCGGAGAGACGAAGGCGGTAGCACATTACAGTCAAAAAGAGCTTAGCGCGTGCTTAGTTTGCGCAGTTTGCACTCGTGCATCATATCCCCCGCAGTTTCCTACAGTAGCTCCTCCGCGCAAGCTTCAATACAAACACTTCTCCCCTATAGAACCCGGTTTTTGACAATGGTGCGGCTGTTTGATTGTTTTGCCCTGAATACACAGCTGATTGTATGTATAGGCCGACACAGGACTTCCAGCAGGATGGGAAGTTCGCCATTCGAACTCCAAGAACCTTCCCTATTACTTCAACCCCTCCACAAAGGAATCTCGCTGGGAACCACCTGCTGAGACAGATACCGAGAAGCTGAAAGTCTACATGGCGCAAAACCACACCCCCGTATCTCGCCCTGATGCCTCAGGCGAAGGCGAGGGCAAGATTCGCTGCAGCCACTTGCTCGTCAAGCACCGCGACAGCCGTCGCCCAAGCAGCTGGAAGGAGGCAGAAATTACCCGCACGAAGGAGGAGGCAATTGAGATCCTGAAGGCCCATGAGCAGCGAATCCAGTCCGGAGAGACCAGCCTTGGCGACCTTGCAGTCTCCGAGTCCGACTGCAGCAGTGCTCGCAAGAAGGGAGACCTGTGAGTGTTTACGTGTGTCCTCGTTATAATACCTGATACTAACGACCTGAAGTGGCTTCTTTGGCCGCAGCGAGATGCAGAAGGAGTTCGAAGATGCCGCTTTCGCCTTGCAGCCTGGCCAGGTCAGCGGTATCGTGGAGACAGCTTCTGGAGTGCATCTCATCGAACGGTATGCTTTGTATTTGAATTAACACTGTACGACTATCTGGGAACTAATCTATGACTTCACAGTGTCCAATAAACCCGTTCCTCTGCTCATTCCTCGATTTAGTTTGTGGGCAGGCGAAAAATTTCTAATCGCATCTATGCCTTGATGACCCTTGGTCGCACTTCTTGGGAAAATTTTGAACAGAAAATAAACTACGAAAATGAAATCACGTCTTTGTCCCTCTTTGTTTACCGAAGATGCCTTTTCGGATAGGAACTATTAAAAAGCAACGTTACAATAGTCCCTTGTGGAGAGCAGCTGTTGTGTCTTCAAGAAGAGCAAGTCAATAAAGAACAATAGCAGGATCGCTGAGGTACTGGACTCAACATGTAACTGTATGGCTCCACACTTTGCAATCATGTATTCATCGGGATTGGTACATGAGCTGAATCACAATACAATGAATGACCCTGATAACGATTGTGGACTATCTTTTCCAGAGCCAGCTTTCATAAAGCCCATTTTCTTTGAGCACTGTATATCTCAACAAAGGCATATTCCAGGCGCGGTATAAATCAAAATAATTCTCCGACGCCTTGAGACAATAGGAAACAATAAGATATAGACATAAGATATAAGTCCTTTTACACTCCAGCCATTTTTAAAACTACAAACCGAGGCACATGAAAATGGGCAAAAAAACGGTGAGAAAAGCGAGGCTAAAGTAGGACGGAAAATTGAATGAAACGATACAGGTTACTTCAAGGCTGTCGTGTAGAGACTGTCCATTACTTTATCAATAGCACTGTATACACATTCATGACCCCCTGTTGTAAGACAATAGGACAAGGCCTTGTTTATTAGCCAAGTGCGGTAACAATAGGGGAACGATGGAGGAACAATGCTATTCAGGTACTGAGACTATCTGAGCACATCGAGGTTGAAAATCCTAAAGGGGACGACAGTCAATTAAGATTCCCTTTTGGGACCCTAAATTTACCAGCAACATCGTTTTATGACTCTTATGACTTCCCAGTGTCATCCGTTTATCCATATTTCCAACTCCCTGCTTGCTTGTGTTCTTCTGATCTACATCAAACATCCCATCGAACCCATGTCTCCTGACTTCGAGACCCTTAGAAACAAGCGCTTCATGATGCTCAGTTTCAACAATAACAAGTCGATCCTCGACTACCAGTTCAACGAACTGGACTTTGCTCTGCCCCCTTGGCTTCAGGCCCCTCCTCAGGTGCGCAATGCGCTCGCCGACCTCCGCACCAACGTCCTGGTCACCATCACCCTGATGAAGCAACTCATGATCATCCGCAACAACCGCTTTTTCGAGACCTGTCCCATCAAATCCGGCCTCATGTACCAGCTGCACGTCAGCTCCGTCAAGCGCCTTCTCGAGTGGAAGGAGAACTGGAACCAGGTCGACCCCACCCTCTCTATCTCGGTCAAAATCCCCCGCGAGGCTCTGCGCTTTTGTGTCGACGAGTTTGCCTATGCTAGATTCACCACTGAATACACCAGCCAGGTCCACATCTTGATGTCGGGAGCCTTTCAGCAGTGGCGTGCAGCACGCCATGCTACCGATCACCTCGCCTGCCGCCTCATGAATGCCCACGAGCAAGAGTACCGCGAGTGGCGCAAGTGGTTTGATGGCGAGTTCACTACACACATGTGGGAATGGGAGACCTGCCTAAAGAGCCTGATTTTGCCCTCCTGGGAGGAGATTATTGATGACCTCTTTTTGATGATCAATGATCGCGTGGAGGACGCCGAAGAGCTTGCCGACACTTTCTACATCCGCGGTCCTCCTTCCCCACATCTTTGATAACAACTTCCAACAATAACTTCTTTTGTCCATGATGCACACACGGTCTGTGGCTCACGAATCTGACGGAAATAGAGTTACTGGCCCGGAAATTTCACCATCGGTTCGACTGGCTAGGTGCGCATGGACACAGGTACACACAAATGAAGTTTCTGGGATAGGAATGCTGTTGTACCGTACAGTTTTGATTCTTTTTTTGATTCTTTTTTCCTTTGTTCTCTTTTTGATTTCTGTTATGGGAAAATAACGTTGACGACATTTATGGAGAGTCAGTGTTTCACCAATCTGATTTGAAATAAACAAACATACATGACTTTCCATTTCCCACTAGGTGCCACTTATTCGAAGCCAGTGAATCAAATTTATTCATAATAGCAGACTTCCTGTCCGTTTATTCAACATACATTTTGCACCGTCAACGTAAATGTGCAATTATTGGGATGCCTCCCCCGGTCACGTGCGGCGACAACCCTAGTTCGGATGGACCAGAAACAAAGGCGGGCTCTACTTTATCATTGTTCACAACACTCAAGAGGGCGAAGAAAAAAAATGACGATGCCACAGCCTGTAAGAAGTCATTGTGCTATTTGTGGAGCCATCTCAGCTCCTTTCCACTGTCTTTCAATATTCCACCTTCCCTCTCATCATCCCAATCGCCCCAATGAATGAGAGCTACGAATGTCTTTAAATCCCCGCCTGGAAGCACACCCACAAAGGAATAGAGGCTCCTCTAACCTAACTCTGAAGTATATTAATTCTAACTGGAAGAACTAGTGCGAACCAGCTACAGTACTAAATCAGCAGAAATAGCTTAAACCAATCTACCGACCCCAATGTGCATCTTCTGGGCGCACAAATACACAATATGCGGCTGTATCTGGGACGAAGGCCCATCAAAATGCTCAGACAGGAGCCAATGCTTAGGCCAAAGAATGATCAGGCTATACAACCACATGGCACCATGCGCAGATTGCTGGAAAGAGGCGACAGGCGGCTAGCCAATGAAGAACGTCACCGAGCGGACCGAAGAGAACAGAAAAGAATAAATGCTAAAGATGGCAAATTACATTTCAGGACCAGAGGTAAAAATGAACAGGATAAAGGCGAAGAACTTGCCTTGCCAATTTCACCAAAACCACTTGCTACACCACACTTGAACAAAGATTTAGATCGGGATCGGGTACATCGGTGGCTTTTGAGTGAAGAGAATAACTTTGATTGCTCTAGAGTTTGTGACCCGGTTAAGTTGGGGTCGATGGGGAAGGACTATCGGGCTGCGCGTGTGAGCACGGATTGGTACGCTGTTGAAGGTGAGTTTGGATTTTTCTTTTTTTCTTGCGGATTTGGTGTGATGATACTGATTGCTAACATTTTATATAGATTTGTACAGACATTGCGCCGATCCTGTGCATGATAACAGGCCTGCTGCGGAAGAGGAAGAGGAAGAAAGTGATGCTCACACTAACGTATGCCGAATGGCTTGATAGACATAGCCTTTCTTTTGTACGCAATTGTGTTGGGCTGCGACGATGGAGGTTTGTAGGTAAATTATGACTTTTTCCATCTATATGTAGGACAGAGATGATGGAATAAAATACTTTGTTAAACTAGACTTACAACATGACTCGAACAGGAAAAGGGATGAAAAACTACATTATGAGACTGCCACAGCTCAATGTGAAGTTGAACCCATCTCAGAGAAGATAATCCAACAGAAATATTCCATGAGATGCAGGGGAATTTATACCCTTTCCGTAAACACGACGTTGGGAAGTTCAGAGACTTGTGTTGAGTCGTTCCAAGCGTGCGGTAATCGCATCAATAACAGCAGACCTAGGAAATGATTAGACACGGATTCAGCCATACACGTGAAGAGAAAACTTACTCTCGTTCAACCATTCTCATAGCATCCGCAACCTTGGCACGTTGCAGGCGTTGCGGGACCTTGGGGTGAGCTCCACCTGGAGAGCTTGGACTTCCAGGCTCGGCAGGAGATGGCGACTTGGCAGCAATAGTCTTGGTTTGGACAATGAGGTCCTGAGCAAGGCGTTTGACCTAGATAAAAATGTGAGCTAGTGTGACCGGAAAGAACATGTGAGCAAAACTTACAGTTTCCAAGCGTGGGACCAGATTTTGATCATCATCCTGGTCTTCAGTCTGACTAGGCTGCAAGGAACCAGATAAAGCTTTGACCTCGGTAACCCAGGCCTTCTCCCTTTCACTCAGGGGACGGCCCCCAGAGTTCAAAACCTTCTTGCGCAATGCTTCATATCGGCGCTGCAATTCATCCTGTTTGTCCTTGGCGGATTGCAATCTCTTGTCGAGGGCTTCACCAGTTCGGACGCCCTCTGTGCGGTGTCCATCTTCGCCAATCTCGCTCGTCACACCCTTGACCCGCTCTGCAACATCCGAAATTTGCTTCAATTGATCCTGCATCTCACCTTGTAGGCGTTCGCATCGGCGGAAAAGATCCGAGGCAGCCCTCTCGAGGGCATTTGTATGGGCGGATAGAACACGGTGAGCAGTAGCCACAAGGTCCAATGTTGCAGGAGACAGGCGTACTTGCTCCTTGAGTGTATGGCGCTGGCGGTGCGGGACGTGCTTTTCAACGAACGAATCCAGCGGGCAATCAGAATAGAAAATGGCGGGAACTTGATATGGAGCGCGGCGAGGGGTCATAGCTGCGGAGCTTGCCGTTGGTGCCTTCTTCTCATAAAGCCGGCTTTCAAATGCCGCGGCGATGGCATCTTCTGGCGAATCCATTACTGCCGCATATGGGTTCGATGGAAGCGAAGTGAGAAGCAGGTAGCCAAGATCAAAGTCATAAAAGACAAGAGACGCGGCGAGGTGTTCATTTTTCGAAGTGATGTCGGCTTCTGAGACTTGCAAGATCTTTTCTCTCTGGCAGATATTTCCATCGCAAAGAACCTGCAGACGGAAAGCAGAACCTGCAGAATCTTCCGCCTGTAATTCGGCTTCCAGTCTCTGCGTCCATGCGGTCAAAGATAGAGAAACTACATTGGTTGCAGTCGTGACAAAAAAGGAGTACCGAGAGTGAATATCCTTTGTAAAAGTGGGCCATGTAGTCGCTTCTCCCGTCTTAACAGTATCCAGGGATTCGACCAGGACAAGATCAGATGGCTCTGAAAGAGGTGTACGGAAGGCGTTCTTTTGGGCCTTGGGCAGCCACTGACCCTCGACACCATCAAGCTCCAGACATACGTGGACTCGGCCATTTCCACTAGACAGAGAGATAACAGTGGCCGAGAGCTTATCCTGTTCACTAATGTCAACTGCCAGTTCTTCCTCTTCGCCCATCATGAGATCATCAACATTCAGTCTAGCAGCAATGACAAGAAGATCACAAAGGTCTAGGTCGTCCAGCTCATCACCTGTATCGAATCGGAAAGGCCCTTGCAATCTGGGAATAGCACTGGGATTGGCGGGGCGAGTGAAAATTTCCGCGCCTTGGAGGGTTTCAGCTCCAGCAGGCAGACCTAAAGGCTCTTGGTCATCGATCTCGCTGAGCCAATCGTACTGTTGTCGACAAGCAGTCAATTCCTCGTCGAATTCCTCCGGATTTTGCTCCAGTGCAGCTAACTTCGGAACAATCGCGGAAGAGAGGGAAGGGATGGTCGTTGAAGGAGCCTGCCACTTGGAAGGCAGAAGAGGACACAGCGCATAGAGATCGCCGGGTCTCATGGCCACCCACAGAGTCATAGGTGCCCATGCATCCTCTTTTTCTTCTCCGCTGCCCGCGAAACAGGCCGAGGCGACCTCCATGTCAATGAGATCAGCTGAAAATCCTTTGTTCTTACCGAATCCGGAAGGCGCAAAGTCTTGATCAGACGAGGTTCCATCGACAAGCTTTTTCAAATCGATTGCTAGAGTTGGTTGGTCAAAGGACCAGTGATTATTGCGGTCCAATTCCCACACGCGCACAGCGGCGTCAGCGGTGATGGTTACAATGCAACCGCTGAGGTTGCTGTGCAAACCTAAGGGATGCCATAGCGCGGACACGACCGGCGCCTCGGGAATAACATGGGTCGTCGGGCCTAACTGGTATGTTTTCAGTCGAAGGGGTGTAGAGTCGGAGGACGATAGGTGCGAAGAGTCGGGGAGGACAGAGATGTGAACGGTATGTTCAGTGATAATTGCAAGGAAGGCTCCGTTTGGGGAGGGAATGATTTGCTTGATCAATCCATATACAGGGACTGCCAAAACCTGCGCAAATGTTAGTCGCGATTGATCACAACATAATTATAGAGTCACCGAAAGCTGTCGGAGCCAAAACGTACCCTGTAGGATGGTAGCTTTGCATCCGTGGCATTTCCGACCTCAGCAGATCCCTTCTTCTGCTTGGTTTGTTGTTGCCATTGATCTTTGAGGCGCGCAAGGTTTGACCACCGGATCTCATTATCAACTACAGCGAACACCTCATTTCCTCTTCTAGCAATTGTCCGGTTAGGTCCGTTGCTAGAGGGTTTCGATGATTTCGATGTCTTGTTGATGTCCTCCGCTGGGCTCTGAGAGGACTTGCTGGTCAAGAAGCTTGCACCAGGCGAGGGCCGGCACAGCCAGGCTGGCGCATAGCTGTTGACCTTTGGCATCGGAAATAGATTTGGAAGGAACGATATGGCCTGTAATGCCCAAGGCGGTTAGAACATTACAGGTCGTAAAAATGCGAAGAAGTTGAAGGCGGCGAGGGGCGTAGGCAGATGAAAGAGTTGTTGATGCGGAGAGGAATTCTTGCCGCGCCAAGATCTTCTGAGAGCTCCGAGCTTCTTTGCTCCGACCTCCCGTCAACCTTTCTCCTCCTCTTCTCTACTCAGTTTTCATTACATTTTCGCGATGAGTTTGCTATCTATCAACACAGTGGACCGCCTGGATAGGCCGAGTGCCTACTATGTTAGTAAGGTTGGTTATTACCCTTCCAAGGTTGCGCTCTACCAAGCATCCAGAACAGCTCGAGTCGCTAAACGACATACAGAACAAGCGTCGCAGATTTAATGACCGCGACGAGGAGAAGCCCGAGGATCCCGACGACAAGTTGAAGAATGCGACTACTCTCTACGTGGGAAACCTGTATGCATGCATCCTACAATCTTGAAGCATCGGCCGCCATTGACCAATGACCAATTTCAGTTCCTTCTATACCACCGAGGAACAGATCCATGAGCTCTTTTCCAAGTGAGTATGCGCACCTTGTCGATTACGATCCAGATCTAATTTTGACTTCTAGGTGCGGTGAAATCAAGCGCCTAGTGATGGGCCTGGACCGATTCAACAAGACACCCTGCGGATTCTGCTTCGTCGAATACTATACACACCAGGATGCGCTGGACTGCTTGAAATATATCGGTGGAACCAAGCTGGATGAGCGAATCATTCGCGCAGACCTCGACCCTGGATTTGAGGAAGGACGGCAATTCGGGTACGTGGTCTTCAAGATGCGGTTTATGGATTGGTAATGGCTGACTCTTTTGGTAGACGAGGCAAGTCAGGTGGACAAGTGCGCGACGAATACCGCGAGGAATACGATCCGGGCCGTGGTGGATATGGCCGCGCCTATGACGAGCAGCGCCAGCGCGAGGAAGATGAATACGGCGCCGGGAGGTAGGTCAGGGCATAATGAAACAGTACTGGCACAACCAAGCAATGGCGTTATCCCACTTGAGGTGAATCAATTAGCAAAAACAGGAAATGTCTATTCACCAAAATACCCTATTTACAATTGTCTCTTGATCTACTGTCTCATCTATTGTCCCAACTTCTTTCGTTTCAGCACAGCCGACTGCACCTGGCGCAGCCACCATGCATGGATTCTCGCGTCGCCAGTCAACTCCGGGTGGAAGCTGGTGCCGAACACATTGCCCTGTCGCACTGCAACAATATCGCCGACTTCCTCATCCGGGTTGATGTCTCGGCTCTCTGTTGCGTTACGAGCTGCAGGGCCCAACAATGTGGCGAGTACCTCGACGTGGTCGGCTGTCGCTGCTTCCGCCACCGAGTCGCGTGCCTGCCGAGATGGTGCCACGACAGTCTCGTCGAGCCGAGTCTCATCTTCCTGGATGCCCTCACGGTGCGGCAGAATCTTTTCGACAATCGGTGCCCGAATGAAGACAGCCGGGAACGGCGCGGCGTCCTCTCCCAAGAATGGCAGGTCCAATGGTCCTTGGAAGCTTTCTGTCTGTCGCCCAAAGTGATTCCGGTTCACTCTTACATCGAGGCCACCGATCAGATCCTGTCCACCCCTCTTTGTCCTGTTGGCCGACTCGGCGAGCAGAATGAGGCCGGCACAGGTACCCCACGTTGGTTTGCGATCCACCCTGTATACCGAACGCATTAGATCCGATTGGCGTAAATTAGCTGAGGGTACCTACTTCACAAAGTCTCTTAATGGCTCCAGAAGATTTGATCTTGCTGCGACTAAAGACATGGTGGTGCTTTCACCCCCGGGCAAGACCAGTCCATCGCATGTTGACAGCTCTTGTGGCGTTCGTACTTCGATGAACTGCCATTCTGAAGGAGGAGCTTGGTCGGCGGCTTTCTTCAGTAGCTGTATATGTTCGTAGAATGCGCCTTGCAAGGCAAGGACTCCAACGGTAATTGTCATTGTATGTGAATTGGCAAGTTCCAGATTGCTTTGCTGGAATGCGATGACTCTTGAGGGCACGTGATTTTGACTTTCCGACGGGAAATTTATCTCCACGTGACGTATCAAGATTCACTGCCACAATAGTAAACTATTCTGCCAGACAAATACATTGTGATTGTTTTAACTATTATGGACGCGTAAATGGAACCAATGGAGATGAAGTAGACTCGGAAGCTGCATACATTCAGTACTAGCTTATTGAACGGTTTTTATTGGCCAATTGTATTGTTGACAATGTAATAGGAAAGTGGTGTATGTACGTGCCCTTGAAGGAAGAAGAAATGCGTTTCCTCTACGCCAAAGTTTTGCTCTTTTGCACTGACTGAAGCACCACTCCTTCCTTCCATACCTGCCTTACACATCCCACATTCCCAGACCCGTCCTCTACGCCTTCACAGTCCCTTCGTTGCTATCACCGCCTGCCGATTACAGACCCCTTATCAGCACGTGCGACGATAAGATCGATAAGGATGTGGCGCGGGGTTCCCTCGACGGTCGAGGGACACATGCGGCCTCAGGATTATGATCGTCTCTTGCAGATGGCCTATCCGGCAGCTGTGAGTGTTCAACAGCTTGCTGGTTGCATGGAAACCTCCTAACTAACTCAACAGACCAAAATGGTAACAAACAACATTCGACAGGAGGACGTCTCTAAGCCTCTCAATTCGGACAAGGTCGACAGCTCTCTCACATCCCAGCCAACTTTGGTGCGATGGTACATTGACACTCGGCGCTGGGATGACATGGCCCTCAACCTTCCTTTACTCCAGACTCTCTCTAGAGCCGACCAAAACTCCATCATGAAGTACCACCACTTGTCGGATAAGCGCATGTCCCTGGCGTCTCAGCTACTGAAGTACTTCTTTGTCCACCAGGCCACTGGCAAATCCTGGAATGAGATCATTATCCGCCGTACTCCCGTTCCGGAGAACCGTCCATACTACGACTCAAGCGTGGATTTCAATGTCAGTCATCAGGCATCTCTGACGCTCCTTGCAGGGACCCGTGCCCCAGAGAGCAATGCCCAGACTAGCTCCTATCCGCCCCGGGTTGGAATTGATGTTGCCTGCGTTGATGAACCTAATCGTCGTCGTTCTGACCGACCTCCCAAGACCCTTGCAGCTCTGGCGTCTTTTGTGGATATCTTCACCGAGGTTCTCTCCCCTCATGAATTGGAAACCATCAAGAACCCTCGTGCAACTCTTGAACTAGCTCGTCAGCGCGGTATCAATGCAAGCGACGCAAAGAATGACACCGAGGAAAGCCTGGCTCTCTACGGTATGCGCCTCTTCTATTCGGTCTGGGCTCTGAAGGAGGCATACTTGAAGATGACCGGAGACGGCCTTCTAGCCACTTGGGTACGTGAGCTACAGTTCTCAAACGTCATCGCCCCAGAGCCTGTGTCCAAGCGTGGTGTTACCGAATACCCCCTGTGCGAGCCCAATCCCGTTGATCAGTCTACCTTCATTGCTCCATCCGTCCAGAACTGGGGTGCGCCATACACGGATATCCACATTACGCTAAAGGGTAACCCCGTTAACCATGTGCGCGTTCAACTCTCCGCCTTCGAGTCGGACTTTATCGTGGCCACTGCCGCCGCTGGGTCCAACATCGGTACCGTTTCCAAACAAGTTCAGAATGACGGCGATCACCACTTGCCAGGATACTATGAGCTATCCGATCAAAATGGGCCAAAGGATATGCGAATTGCGCCCTCTGCAGTTCGAAAAGTCGGCGAGCGGGATCCCTGGCGCGTGCAGTCTGCAATCAGGGACCCCTGGCTCCCCATGCAAGAAGTAGACATTGACCTCGACATTCGCCCCTGTGCCGAGGGCCGCTGTGTTCACTTCCAAAACCCACAATCAATCTTTGCGTACGCTACCACACAAATATTTGTTTCCTCTGGTAAAGACCAATAACTAATATTTTAGTACTAGCCACAAGCCCACCCCATCGGTGGATTCAACGGGTTCTCCGGATCTCAACTACTGCTGAGATATGACTGGTTCTAATCTTATGCATCTCCAGCATCTTGCATATTTGATATCTGAGCGGTTTTTCAGCGTAATGATTCCCCTATGCATACACGCATCTTCTGTCGGAATTACATGGCCATGCTGGTTGGCAACTTTGTATCAATAAATCACCACGGCAGAAATCTCATCTCTTTATTTCGGTTTTATACTCACTATTACGCGTTAAGTAGTACCAGAAAGGTGATGGCAATGGTAAATCCTAGCACACTTACCGTTCGTGCGTCTTGCTATAATGGAATTGATCAAGATATTAGATGGCGATGGATCAAATGCTAGCTCTGGTTTCTATCCAAACCGATCCTGTGGTATTATTCGACTATAAAGAGACAACTACAGCGAAAACAGACGTCACATCCTCCCATGCATCCTTTATGCTCCACATCCTGAATTCTCCAAAGGTTTGACTGTCTCGGCGCAGTGTAGAACAGAATTGTTTTCCTCTCGTGACAAGGTATTGCGTCGGACAGGAATTAAGATTGTCGTCTTTCATGCAGAAATTACGCTCTGGGACATGGTGTATCTATGACTCTCTTTTGGGGATTGAAAATTATATCCACCATTAATTAATATTTCCGCCAGCCCCGTAGTTGGTTTAATTCGTATTTATGCCTTCTTGCTGCGCTGTCACAGGTAAGAATTAACTGTCATCGTTAAGGCTACGGTCAGATAGTGGCCTTGACGCATGCTGTAGTTCCAATAAACGGGTCCGTTATTTGGCTCTAAAATGCCATCTGACCATGATAGGCTGCTATATTAATGGACGCTGGGTGAATCAGATGTCGATGAGATAATTCCGATCAGCAACACAATTTACCCCATTTGGCCAGCGCAGAAACGGGGCGTTTGCGGGATTTCCACAGCCCGCTCAGGGGAGATCTACGCGGTGATGAATTAACTGTATGTTTTGATCATATTTGGAGTAATGCTCTGATCGTCAAGCAGAATAACGAATCACAAACTCGGTTCGACCCCCGAGCTTATTTGTCCGAATATGGGCCGATGATTCCGGACTTTATATACTTGGCTAGTCTTGGAGCTCGGAGGCCACAGCCTCTCTCGGGTCCTCGCCAAGAATGCCATGATTAATGTTAGTCATTGAATGAGGCTTTTTTTTGTTGGATGATTATGGGGCACGTATGATGTAGACGATCGTAGAATTGAATATTTCGTGTTAAATATGAGGAACTATCCTCTTTGATTGTGGTATTGAAGTATAAAAGTGTAGGATGGAGAGAACGACATGCATCATATTCTATTCTTCTAGAATAACCCCTTGACCAATCAAACAATCGCCGAACAGCATAATCCTACTCTAATCCGGCCGTTCCTGAAGAATGACGATCTCCACTACCCCAACTATCCTTCGCCAAGGTTCATCCACTTTTCCCGTTTCTATTGTACTCCATACGCTCTGGAGCACACTACGACATGCTGGGGTCTCAGCCAAGGCAAAACAGTATGGTCAAGAGCTGCCAAGAAAACTATATACCATGACGCCTAGAATTCGGCTCGGAACTGTAGAATTCGACTCAGACGTCAGGTCCGATCTATATAAAGGGTCGTCCACGCCGGTGTTCATGCTCATACATTGCCATAATCCACAGCCCTGTTTGACCTGATAACAAAAGCATAGCTTTCACAATGGGCTTCCATCTCAATACATTCCTTGTATCAGCCTTGGCTGCCACAAGTTATGCCTCTCCTTTGATCCAGGCCCGAGCATCCAACACGTCCTATACCAACTCCAACGGCCTGAAGTTTAACCAATTCAACGCTTCTCTACCCAATGTCACTCTCTTAGCAACTGGTACTTATCACCCACCCCTTATCATACGAAGAAGTATCCATCCTAACACAAATAAAGGCGGCACCATCGCCGGCACTAGCGACGATAAAACCGCAACAGCAGGCTACAAATCTGGCGCATTATCAATCACCAAGCTCCTCAGCGGAATCCCAGAAATCAACGATATCGCCAACGTCGCCGCCGTCCAAGCCACAAACGTCAATAGCGGCGATGTCTCCTCATCCCTCCTGCTAAACCTCACCCACACCCTCCAAACAACCGTCTGCGACGACCCCACCATGTCCGGCGCAGTAATCACCCACGGCACAGACACACTCGAGGAATCTGCATTCTTCATCGACGCAACAGTAAACTGCGGCAAGCCAATTGTCTTCGTGGGCTCGATGCGGCCTTCCACCGCCATTTCCGCGGACGGGCCCATGAACCTCCTGCAGGGGGTGACTGTTGCCGCGGATGAGGATGCTAAGGAGCGTGGTGCGCTTGTTGTGCTGAATGACCGGATTGTCTCTGCATTCTTTGCTACCAAGACTAATGCCAATACCGTTGATACGTTCAAGGCGTATGAGCAGGGTAGTCTGGGGACTATTGTTTCCAATACGCCTTACTTCTATTATCCTGCTGTGCAGCCGAAGGCGAAGCATACTGTTGATGTTACTGATGTGGACTCTATTCCTCGGGTTGATATTCTCTATGCTTATGAGGATATGCATGCCGATTCGCTATACAGTGCTGTTAAGAATGGCGCGAAGGGTATTGTTGTTGCTGGTGAAGGCGCTGGTGGTATTTCCACAGACTTTGCTGATGCTATCAGTGATGTCGTTGCTAAGCACGGCATTCCTGTTGTTTTGAGCCACCGTACTGTTAACGGTGAGGTTCCCACCGCTGATATCACTGGCGACAGCAGCAAGATTGCTAGTGGCTTGTTTAACCCCCAGCAGTCGCGCATCTTGGTCGGGTTGTTGTTGGCTGAGGGCAAGAAAGTCCAGGAGATCCGGGAGGTGTTTGGGAAGGCTACTGTTGCTTGAATACCTTTTTGGGGGCTTCAAAATAGCAAAACATATACACAGAATTATTAGATGTCTAGAATGGACAAATAAAAATTAGAAGGTTATAATAGATGAATCAATGAGTTTGTATTCTCGGTACTCAAGGCGTATGCAGACATCACTCTTGTAGGGATCATGGTAAAGCACAAGAAGCTAAAGCAAAATGTAATTCAGTCTAGTGTGCCAGGTCATGTCATGCGTTGTTCCTAAAGATATATACATTCCGAGGTGCAAAAAGGAGAAGGGAACCAGGACCGAAAAGATGCAAAAAGGACATCGGCGTAATGTCTAATGTAATACCAATCCCCTGGGGCAGAGGTAAAAGGAGATAAGTTCAACGTCTAAGGTTTCCCAAATTCGAGTTCTTATGGCATGAACTAGAGAGTATGTACCGAAGAATTGAATGGGAATATACTGCATTAAGAGCGGAGGACGAGTTGCTCTTCTGGTGGATTCAATCGGGGCGGGTGATTAGGTATGTTCCTTGCTGTCATGGGCTTCGTTCGAAATTTCCATTATCGGGTGGACAGCCGGTGAATATCGAGGCGGCGGAGAGCCCTGTGGCGCAACTTGGATGCGCTTAGATCTCAATAGCGCTGGAAACACCGTTGGCGTGGGCAACATCAACCTTTTCCTTCTGGGCATGGGACAATTCAATAAGGGTGTTGAGCATCGAGTCCCGAGTTGAAGTTGTCAGTTTATCCACATCGGCCGATGTCAAATTCGTGGTCAGAATAGGAGGCAAGACTATTCGCAAATGATTAATTAGGTTCACTTTTATGAGACTCAAACAACAAACAAACCTTTGATCTTGATAGTTCCAGCATTGAATCGCCACGCACGAGGCGACAGAATATGGGAGTAGTTCTCCGCCACAATGGGAACGATTGGCACACCAGCCTTCACAGCCAAATGGAAAGCACCCTTCTTGAAGGGTAGAAGGGTAGGCTCATCAGAGTAACTCCGGGTACCCTCGGCAAAGATAAAAACACTCTGGCGGTGATTGCGCATTTCATCCGCGGCACCATCAAAGGCCTTGAGGGCGGTCTCGCGGTTGGCACGGTCAATGAAGACAGTGCGAGAGAGGGCCATGAACCAGCCCAGGAAGGGAATGTTCCGCAAAGACTTCTTAGCAGTCACGCTACAGTAGGGTGGGAAGATACAGCCCAGCATCAACACATCCAGCTCGGTCTGGTGGTTACCAAGGAAGACAGCCGGACGGGTGTTCAGGTACTCCTCGCCCTCGATGACCTCAAACTTGACACCGGTGGTGAAGCGCATCAACCACTTGAAGCTGCGCCCCGTGGCCCATTGTGAGATACGACCATATCCAACTAGCCGTAGGCAGATTGAGACGATCACGCCGTACGCGGCAGCCACGAGGAGGGAGCCATAGGATGCGAGACACCGAGCGGCAAAGGCGGCGCGGGGTACTTTCTGACCAAGGGCGAAGAGGGAGGCTGTTACTACCACAAAGGAGCTAACGCCTGACACAATGTAGGAGCCGAACGACATGGTGACGGTTTGTTGAGAAGATGCTGGGGAGAGATATGGTCAGAGCGGAGACTATAACCGGGGGGAAGGGAACATACTTCCGGAAAGAGAATTGGCACCCCAGCCCAGGTGTTGAATCCGAGAAAAAGGAGGAACAAAGAAGAAAGAGATACAGCTTCAAATGCCCTGAGCCATGACTGTGGGGAAGAGCAAGTCGGCGTTGAATCGTTTTTTTGCCCCGAGGCCGACTCACCGCCTGGTGCAGATGACGGGGTCACGCTGGCCGGAAGTATGCAGCTACAATATATTAAGCTTAGAGCAATATGTCACATTTAAATCATGAGAACAGCGCATGGAAGGATAATGAATTATGCAAGCACCCATCATCTCATCCGTGCCAGAGAAAATTGTTCAACTAATGTACAGAACACCATCATGCGTGATGCCAGATATCTAAACCTGGAAAAGAAAACTCCACAGTGAATGCTGTGCAAAGAGGCCTTCAAACGCCGAGTTCATAAGAGAGCGTTCCCATGCGGGAACAAAACAGAAAGACCTGGGGCATCACAGGCCTACGCTATGTCCTCATCCTCCATCTCGTCTTCATCCAAGGATTCCATCGCGTCCTTGATGTATTGTGCAGCCTGTAAGGAGTGAGTGTCAGCAAGGAATTCAACAGCCAGAAGGCATTCTGTGCTTGAACGTACCTTTGGATCCAAGTTCAAGGCCGCTGTGAAATGCTTGATAGCATTGGCCTTGTCATGGAGCACTTTGTACAGCTTTCCCAGCAGGTAATGCACATTTGCTTCATCCGGCGCCATATCCTTGAGAATCTTCAATTCTGCCATAGCGAATTTGAATTCGTGCAGCTTCATTAGCACGCGCGCCTTGCGGAACCGGGCCAAAACTGATTGTGGAGCCAACGAGGAGGCTCTGCCGTAGTGGACCAGGGCTTCCTGAGGGTTGTTCATTTTCTCCAAAACCAGACCAATGCAGCAAATTAGTACCGCGTTAGTGGGGTTGATGCTAGCTGCGTTGCGGAAGTGCTGCTCAGCAAAATCAAGTTTGCCCATCTTATCGTACACCGTCCCCAGTCCGTACCAAGCGTTGTAGTGTCGATTGTCGGCATTGATGCCGTTGCGGTAGGCCTCCAATGCCTTGTCATATTCCTCGTTGGCGACATACTCATGTCCTTGCAGAGTGAAGGCATATGCGAAGCCAGGGTCAATCATTGTTGCGCGCTTGAAGCACTTCAGTGCTTGATCGTGATCTCGTTGGTGGGAAAAAGAGTTGCCAATGGCACACCATGCCTGAGGTGATAGCCGATCAGCTTCGAGCAATTTATGTGCCAAGTAGGCCAGTTCAACATCGTTTTTCAGATGCCATAAGACAGTTGAGTAGATTTCCATGTCTTCTTGGCGAGAGGGCGCCAACGTTTGAACCCTGTGGAAATATTTCGCAGCTTCTGTATACCCCGCTTGCTCAAAATGGGCCCGTCCAAGCTGAGCAAGAACCCATGAGGTCTCACGCTGACCTTGAGAGAGAGTATTGAAATGGCTGATAGCCTCTCCGGACTTGTAACGACTCAATGCGAAATGTCCACAGGCAAGTTTATTGAACAGCCCCAGAAGCCAGTTCAGAGCCTCGAGCTCTTTTGTTTTCTCGGCGTTTTTGGGCAACGGAGGTACCGGAGGATGTGGTGGCATTGGTCCAGTACGATGGTCCTTGCTATCATTGTCGGGTGCTTCCATGGGCTTTCGATTACCACTCACGACGCGGCCGACTGTGGGCGCAGTTCCGATGCGTCCTCTTGACTGTGCCCTTAATTTTTTCATTTCACGGCCGTCTTTGCCGGTAAGCGTACTGTTTAGTGTACTGTTAGAAAGTTTGCTTGTGGTAGGCTTGATTTGATTGAATAGGCGAACGCTTCGGCGCTGAGGAGCACCTGGTTCAATCGGTTGTGATGGAGGAGGGGGGTGGGCAACTTGCCCAGAGACTGTGCGCTTGCGGTCACCAAACCTGGGCGCAGGAAGAGGATCTCTTTCCATTGGGACAGTTGAGTGGGCCTCTGGGTCTGTTCTTGTTTTGTTTCTGGGCCTGATACCTGTTGGGCGCATTCGAGGTGGAGCTTGCCCAGTTTGATCTAGGCTCATGGTTTGCGTTGGACGTGTCTTGCGGGCCGGAGCCATGGGTGCATCCCATGTGGATTCCGGATCCGTGACACCATTCGCGATGCGGAACTCTTCAGAGCCACTGCTCTGTGCCCCTGGGGTCTCCATGCCATCTTGGAATACTTGCTGTGCCACAGTGACGGAGCTGCCATTCAGCTTTTCCCAGAGAGCGGAGCTTCCAAATGTGGCATCGGCCTCGCCTCGGGATGCAGGGACCATAAAAGGATCGGATGCGGGGTGAATAGGGGGTTGCATAGGGAGAGCTTCTGCGACGGGGATGTTGTCTGATACTGCGGGTGTTTGATCCGGCGATGAGGATATTATTGCGAGAAGTTCTGGGCTAAGTTGATAGATATTGGGGACTCGGATGTTGACACCTGAAATCATGTGAGAGAGAATTCCATCCAATATCAGAGATCAATACATACCCGTTTCACAAAGTCCTAGGAACGCGTCCCACATGAATGGGTTCAGCTTAAGTGCCTCCACGTAACAGTCAACTGCTTTGTTCAAATCTTTATGAGCGTGCCAAAGCTTTCCCTGTAAGCAAAACACGGCTGCGGCATCCGGAAGATGTTGTCGCTGTGTTTCGCTGTGCTTGTCTGTAATTTCATTAGCACTTCAGTTCGATCCCAGGCACAAGTTTGCGAACGCTTACTCCAGTGATTCTTGGTGGCCCATAGATGCTTGCTGCGATCTAAAGCTGTAATGCCGTCCAAGTATTTCTCCAGATCCAAGCAAGTTTGCGCGAAAACATACGCGCAGCCAGCATGTAGGCCTAGAGAGCCTGAAGGCTGACTGCAATCAAATGCAGCCTTCACTTCGCCATTGTGTAGGTGACAGAGCGCAAGTAGATATTGCGCCTCGTAGGATCGCGGTTCAAAGGCATGGAGACGGCCGGCGAGAAATAGCGCGTTGCGAATTAGGTTATTATCGAGTTGGTAGTAAATGAGGTGCCGTAACTGGCTGGCGACATGTCCCGTGGACAAGGCCATGGTGAGGGGTCGGGCAGCACGTTATGCGACAGCGCGCGAGGTTTGGTTCGTGGGAGAATAGGTCGAAATTCAAAGTAATGATGCGATTGTGAAATTTCGGGGGAGCTGGCCCATCAACCTCCGGCGCCTTCCTTGGAGATGCCCTCTTGAGACGCGGGGAGGAAACAACGACGCGATCGAGTGAGTTCTGGAGTGAGTTCTGGAAGCGCGAGCGAACGGTCCATCAACGCTAGCAAGACATGGGACAGCGAAAAGTCCAATGTCAGCGAACTGCTCTGAATGCAGGTGTGGTTCACTGGCTCGGGACGACGGGCGTGGAGTGAGGAATGTCAACCAGAGCCGGAAATGGTAGGAAGACGAACGAGGATGATAGGAAGCAACGAAGTGAGATCCCTCTGGTTAAACCAGCTAAATACGCCTCAAAGCAGGGACATGTCAGCTCTGAAGGCAGAGTATTGTGAAGCTTCAGTTCTTCCTTGTTATTTTGGTCTCGAGAGGCCTTTGTCGTTTTTGCCGGGCGGTGACGGCGGTGAGGGTCGTGGAGGGCAACAATCGTCCGATGTACTGCAGCTGTCATGCGTGTCCCCTCCGTTCCCGTTCAGCCTCTTTCTCCGATTTTGAGCCATCTTGAAGCCTCTAGCTTGCCTAGCTCTTAATCAGGGGCGTCAGGGAACTTAGAAGACCTCCATCATTATCAACCTGCGGAGAAACCGGTGATTGTATTCAATCATGGCCCAGGTATGTACCAAACGACGGTTCCTTGCTGCTGCAGACTCCCTATTAGCATGTTCTCTGCATAAAAACATTCTAACTCTATCACAGAAAGCCGCCAAAACCCTAGCGACCCGCAATGGTGCTATCCTCAACCGCACTCACCTGATCTCGGCGGCATTGCACCTGCTCTTCCTTGTGCTGCACTTTATGTTCCAGCGGCCTCGCTCCTTAAAGCCATACTTCTTCTTGGCTATTCCAACTCTTGCCATTGAATATTATCTGGACCGCGTGGGCCGGCCGCGCTACAATGAGGATGGCTCCTTGCGCTCCGCTGGCGAGGATCTCAATGCCACCGGTCTGACGGAGTACATGTGGGATGTACTTTACTGGACACAGGGGTGCATTTTTGCTGCCTGTCTGTTCAATGACCGGGCTTGGTGGTTGTGGGTGGTGATTCCTTTGTACTCTGTCTACGCTGCCTATACCACCATCATGGGTGTGAAGAAGGGATTCGCCGGAATGGGTGGTGGCGGTGAAGAAGCCCAGGGTGATGCTCCCAAGAGTAAGACGCAATTGAAGAAGGAAAAGAGGGGCTCTTCTATGAAGTATAGGTGATTTGGTGGGACCTGAGTGGGCAAAATATGTAACAATAAGCTCGATATATATTGTGCGTTCCAGATTGGGATTCAGCACCATTTTACCCAAAATGACATATTGGAGTATTTCTATGACCTAACGCCGATCTAGTACATGATTCTAAGTTTGCCATGGGAAACAGATATATGCTCGATCATATTGAGAAGATCAAAAAAGCCCATTCAGTTATTATGTACTAACATATACCACTTCAAACCCCCTCGTATTTGAGTCAGAAAGTGATTACAGAAAACACAAGACAATAGGAAAGAGCCCGAAATCAAAAGAAACTGTGCATGAAGGTCATGAGCATTTAGCCGTCGTGACAAACTATATGGGGAATAATGCGTCGGAAGCCGCGCATAGCATGCCTAAGGCATGGCGTTCAATTTCGGAGCAAGCTGTTCGAGTCCGAAAGAAGGAAATAGAGAAAAGAAAAATACATGATGCATGCCGTGATAGGAGTAGAGTGATTTGAACAAAGTTCACTCCTTCACAGTTCGTCCTTGACTGAAGATGCAGCACTCCTGACACTGCTCGTCGCATCTTCTACGTGTGACGCAGCGGTCTCAGCTGCCTCGGACGCAACGCTGCTAGCGCTGGCAGCAAGGTCAGCCAGCTGAGACTTGGCGCTTTCAACAGCACCAGCGAGACGGAGGGTGGCACTCTCAACTGCGTTCGGCTCTTCACCGTAGATAGCAGCGCTGGCTTTGGATTGAATGTCCTCAATGGCACCCTTAGCGATATCGATGTAATCAGATTCCTTGCCATAGACAGCGCTGCTTACGTGGGCAGATGCTGTCGAGTAAGCGTCGGCCGCAGCATCTGTGGCCTGTTCAAAGGAGCCTTTGGGAGTTCCGTAGATCCCGACACTGGCAGCGTCAACAGCAGCGTGGAGTTGATCATTGGCATGCTGCATGATATCCTCCACACTCAGCACATCGGAGATAGCCGCAGCAGCGGCCGAGGATGCAGTCTCATAAGTCTCACTGATGTAGCCAGAAGCAGAGGAGACAGCGGCGGTTGGGTAAGGTGTCTCGTATGCGGCTTGAAGCTTGCTCAGCACACTCTCAGTGAATGATGGCTGCTTGCCCACGATCAACTCAGAGATAATTTCGTGCACCGCCTCAAAGTGGGCACGCTGGTCTTTCACCACTTGTTGCAGATACGGTGTTGGTGCGCCATAAATCTGCTCGCTGACCTTGGAAACCAGGTTCTCCCAATTTTCGGATGCTTGGCTGGAAAGAGATTCCACAGGCCCTGGGGTGGTTCCGTAGATAGCCGAACTAGCTGAGGCGGATGCCAACGAGAGAGAAGAAGAAGCTGCGGAGAGGGCGGCATTGTATCTTGATGAGGCATCATCAATGATACTCTTCGCTTTACCATCATCAGCCGAAGAGATGACCGAGCTGGCTGAGGCAACAACAGCGACAAGGCTGGCGGAAGCCAACGAAGAGGCCTGCTCGTATTGAGATCCGGCTTCCTCGACGAGTCCCTTGAAGCTTCCGGGAGCTGGGGTGGGCGTCGGAGAACCATAAACTGCATCAGATGCCGTTGATACAAAGGCAGAATAGTGATCGTGAGCCAAACCGACTGCCTCGTAATAGCGGCGCTGCGCATCGAGCACAAAGGGCTGGAAGCCGGAGTCACTAGTTGGCGACGCTGTTTGCCGCACCTGAGCTAGTTGCTCAGATGCCAGACTGAGTCCCTGGTCCAATCGCGACGAGGCGATTGATGATATTTGAGCTAGCGGTCCTGCGGAGGAGGGCGTGGGAGTAGCTCGAACAGCGCGAAGCTTCGACTCTAACTCTTCAGTGGCATACTTGACCGACCCAGAGTAAGCCGCTTCAATAGAGGCAAGGAGCTGGGAATGAGCGGGAGCGCTAGACTGCGCCATCTGGCCAAGAACTTGAGACTTTGCGATTTCATAGAGGATCTTGGCTTGAACCGTAGAATCAGCATATGCTGAGCTGGCCTCGCCTACCAAAGATTGAATGACCGGTGTTGGGGTACCATAGATGACCGACGAGGCACTGAAGTTCAGAAACTTGATTAGCGAGTATTCAATTGAGGGTGTAATTTTAAAAGCATAATAGATAGTCTACACTACTTACGCCGCTACAGCCTCAGCGTATTTTTTAGAGGCAGCGCTGGAAACCTTCTCTCCAGGACTTAAGGGAGTTCCATAAAGAACCTCAGATGCGGCGGACCATGCATGAGAATACTGGTCACTGGCGAATGACGCAGCCTGATCGCCAACTCCAGGAGTCACGGAAGCACCGTAGATAGCCTCGCTGACAGCCTTGCTTGCCTCGGCGTAAGTGTCGCCAGCTTTGTTCGCCAGGCTATGCAAGGCATCTGAGTCCTCATCATCGAGGATGGGCTCTTGGTAAGAGCCGACATCAGCAGCAGCAACACCAAAGGCTGGTCTCACAGAAGGCTGTTCATCCACAATGGCGTCAGCCAGAACGGACTCAGCATTACCATCAAAACCGTCCTCTTCGGCAACGACAGCGGGAGACGATTCGGCCTCCGGGGCTTCATCGATGTCCTCAGAAGCATCATCCGGGCTTGACGTGGCTTCTTCGTTCACGTCTTCCCTCTGAGTAGCAGAGTCAGAGACCGCTTCAGATGTCTCGTCGTGATCCGAATCGACAGATATGTCTTCTGATTCTTCAGGTTCTTCTTGAGACTTGGGTCTCGGAGGCGGGGATTCGTTTCGAGTGTCAAAGTTGTCACTGACTTCACGAGCGGCGATCTTCCAGAGCCCAACATCCTTAAGTCTGACAAGTTCCTTTGCGGCTTGTTCGGCTACTTGCATGCCGCTGTCCAAGATATCACTTGCCACGGTTCTGGCCTCTGAAACTGACTTGTGGTGTACGCCGACATCCCGGATCTCGTTGCGCCAATCCTCGAGTTGGACTTTCAGAGCATGGTACTTAGCCCAATCCTTGTAGGTGACACCATCCATCCACGCCCAGCGCATGCCGATCTCTTGCAATCCTAGGTCACGGATGCTGTCGAGGACAGCCAGAGTTGAGTCAACGGCCGCACCCACTCGGCGAACAAGTTCTTCATCGAAAGATGTGAACCATTCTCTTAGTGCATGGGCACGATCTCTCACGGAAATGGCGGAAGTTCTGATTTCCCTGACGAGCTGATCTCCAGTCGACTCTTCAACCTCTGGAGCATCCTCATCTGGCATCGATTCCGCCAGGGCATTGATTCGTTTTTTGACCGAAGAAAGCTGCTCAGCTGATACCGATTGAAGTGCAGTAGAAAGGCTCTGACCGTAACTGTTGGCGCTGCTCGCAACGAGGGCAGACACGATTTCCTCAATACGCTCCTCGAGGTCCTCAATACCTTTATCAGCTGCAAGAGCAAACTTGGCCTGCCATCTCTCAAGGTCGGACTCGATCTTGACACGGTCTTGCTGCGCTTGCTCTGTTGCAGAGAGAGTGGGCTGGACAGGAGCTTCGGTCGTAGACGTGGAGGTCACAGTACTCGTGGTGTGAACTGGCTCCTCGGTTTGAGTAGTCTTAGAATAGACAGGCTGCAGGGATGAAGTGCTTAAGATGATAGTTAGCAAAACCGCGGACTTCAGAGGTGATGAAAGAACTCAACGTACCTATCAGCTTCCTCAACAACAGCGCGAAGGCGCTTGCCTTCCCTGTAGCTAGCCAAACGCTGGCCGATCTTGACTAATTGTGGCTCTACCTGCTCAGAGTAAAGACCTGTGACGTGAGGCCACAACGAGCTGTTCGCAAAGTAGACTGCGGATGACCAGGTATAGCGCGCGCCGGGCATAACATGGGTGGTCAAAATTCCCTGGCTCGTGGCATAAGTCTTGCCAATGAAAGGCTGTGAGCGGGTATAAAAAGGCACTAGGTGGTCCCAGTAGACAGTCATCGCGGCGGAGTTGGCCTTTTGGTAATACGGGGAGACAACAGTCACACTCTGCTGGACATATGGGTCCACTTTAGCGAGATAGAGCTGATTCGCCTTATCCCGAGCAGATTGCACTCGAGGTGTGACTTGGACTCGCCATTGCTCAGCACCATAAATCTGGGCTTTGTCCAATGCCGGCGCCCCGTATTTCTCATAACCAGATTTGGCAACTTTTGATGCCGGGGTATAAACCCGTTCGTTCAAGACCTTGACATATGGGCGAGCTTGATCAACATAAAGTGCCGCGTACGTATCATAATAGGGTGTGACATAAGGCTCGACGTGCGCTCGAGCGATCAGGTAAGGCTTGCAGACTCGCGGCGATGTTTCTGTAAGTTCTGCGAGGTTGGAAGGGCATTGTAGGAACGGCGTTACAAGTGCATACCAGATGCAAAGTCTAAAAAACCGCAGATATTAGTTGAGTACTTCCCCTAATCGTGGTTTGGTACTCACCTCACAACAAGTCCCACTGTCCATCGCAAGAAGCCCTTTCTGCGCGGCTTATTAACCTCCTGCCGGCCATTTGATTTGACCGTGGTCTCCGCCACTTGTCCATTCTCCATCACTACCATCGTGACTGTGACTGACCCTTTCGAGTTCACGCGATCTCCTTGAGAGATGTGAGGTCGACCACTGTAATTTGCGTGAGGGCTTGCCCTTCCACACACACTGAGATCAAGTCGGCTTAACAACGTATTACGACTGCATCGGAGAGAAGCTCACAGCTCGAATGTGTGGCTTTGGTCGATATTGAAGCTCGAGTCTGAATGAATCAAAGCAAATGAGTATCTGTAGGCGGAATGCTCGCGTCGGTCTTGGCACTAGCTGACTTTCACGGGCCGCGGTCGGATACATACCTAGGCTGGGAAGACTGAGGACCGAAAAAAATAACTGGGTGTTGAACGCAGAGTCTAAGGGGAAGATGTTGACTTGGTCTGAGTCTATCAAGTTATGGAAGTTGAATATGACACAATCAGGAACTGTCTGTCGAATATCAGTGAGGTCATCGGGTGGCACTTGTACTGCAGATACACAGATATGCGACCATTACTGCCTGTCCTGGCGTAAATAACTGTATTTTACTTACAGCCAGCGCACATCGGCTGAGTCAGCACAATGGGATAGGGACCAGGCTGAATTGATTGCTTCGCCACTATCAAGCTCCGATCTCCAGGCTCCTAGGTGGGTTGTTGGTATCAAGTCCAGCATAAATACAGTACTGACCATTCATTTCAGCCCAACCGGATTGCCCCTCCTATGTTTACTCCTCTCACGCCTCCCGCTTTCCTAGGAACATGGTGAACATCTGATCAACACCGTCGACTCGACGCGAAACCTACTATGGAAGCCTCAGACAGTCAATTCCGCGCTACGGGTGCCGGATTCCCCGACGTGATGAATGACCCGGCTTACGATGAAAGGGAAAAGGGATTTGACGATCTGGATACCTGCCGCATTTGCCATGGCGAAGCAACGGACGAGGAGCCGCTTTTCTACCCGTGCAAATGTAGCGGCAGCATAAAGTTCGTTCACCAGATATGTCTGGTTGAGTGGTTATCGCATTCGCAGAAGAAACACTGCGAGCTTTGCAAGACGCCGTTCCGCTTTACCAAACTCTATGACCCGAACATGCCCCAGAGCCTCCCCGCTCCTCTATTCGCGAAGCAAGCGTTGATACAATGTTTCCGGAGTGTGGTTACTTGGCTGCGATTTCTTCTTGTCGCCTTCGTCTGGCTGGGATGGCTGCCGTGGTCAATGCGCGCAATCTGGCGGGCCCTCTTCTGGCTTGCTGATGGCCGCTGGTCTGCGAGCGAAAGTGCTCGAAGCCAAGCTGCGCAAACTGCTCAAGAAGGTCTTGGGCAACTGTTTTCGAACGGTAGCGTGACAAATGCTGCCGTGGTCGACTCGGTCAGCCCGACGGTCTCTAATGCAGCTATCTCGTCTGCAACCGCTGCCCCCACTACGCAATCATCGATTCTCAATTTCGCTGCTGGTGAGCCGCTCATGCTCACTCTCATCAAAAAAGTGATCCCCAACTTGTTCATGCCCGCCTTTACCTCCTCCGTCGGGCAGGGTAACACACCAAACAACTCAACGGCCGGCTCAAGCAAGCCCCGCTACCCATCATGGCTGTCGGACGTAAAATTCCTTAACAACTTGACACCCTATCCTACGATTAATAACATGATCATCGACACATTAGAAGGCCAGCTTATCACTCTGCTTGTGGTCGTTGCCTTTATTCTACTCTTCCTGATCCGTGAATGGGTTGTTCAACAACAACCTATGGCCAATATTGCTGAAGGGGAGCGCGAGGCTGCCCTACAACTGATTGCAAACAATAGGCCGAATGAGGAAGCCGAGATGAGACAGCAAGAGCCGGCTCCCGCTCACCAAGAAGACGATAACGCTGCAGATTTCGGGCCTCATGGCTTGGATGAAGAAGAATTGCCTCGTTTCGCACCTCATTCTCCAGCTCCCTCCTGGAGTGATTCTGATACCGGCCACCCTGATTTTGAGACATTTGATAGGGAGTTACAGCCAATGGAGTTTGACAACTCAGAGGATGAAGGTGAAGATTTTGCCCCCGGTCGTCGCGCCGAGGCTTTCCGAGATATATTGGCTCGTGCTGGTGGGGACCATGAAGAAATGCTACGCATTATCCGCGACGAAACTCAAGGAGATGATTTGGACTGGATTGCAAACGCAGTGACCGCAATCAATCCCAACCAGCAGCCAGCACAAGAAGCCGGGCCTTCTAATCGTCCCGACAACGCCAACGCAACAGAAATTCCAGAGCTTCCAGAATTCGTCAACAGCGGGAATGCGCATGTCGACGGTCATCAACCCGACACCACTACCGGCCAGACCCCGGATAATGCACCGCCAAGTACACGCGATACTGCTCCTGCTTTCAATAGGCAAGCGGATAATCAACCCCCACAGGGACTCACTGAGCGGCTCATTGATTGGTTTTGGGGAGACATTACACCTGCAGATCACGACAGGGAAGAGCCAGTTCCTGAAGACGATGAGCACATTGTTCAGGATCCGGCTTTGGAAGACCCATTCGTACCCTTACCGAACCGGATGGAAGGCGCACTAGCAGGTGCTGGCGCGGCTGGGGATTTGGACGCTGGATTGGATCCTAATGATATGGAAGCAATTGAAGGGGATGATTTCGAAGGAATTATGGACCTTATTGGCATGCAGGGCCCTATCTTTGGACTTTTTCAAAATGGCGTCTTCTGTGCCCTTCTCATTGCCTTCACAGTCGCCATCGGTATCTGGCTTCCTTACTTATGGGGGAAAATAGCCCTCGTCTTGTTGGCCAACCCCCTTGAACTCATCGTCGGTGTTCCTATCACTGCTGTCGAAGTCGTCGCAGATATCGCTCTCGATACCCTTATCGGTGTCGTAGGATATGTCATGTACTGGCTCAGCTTCGCTTTTAGGGTCTTGCTGAGTCCTCTGAGCACTGTCATTCCCATTGGGGAATGGATGCCTCGGGACAAGTCAGTCACCAGTGCATCGCTTTCCCTCATCGATGCAAGCAGCCAGCGTCTGAACAAGGTGCTCAAAGCGTTTTTGGTCTTCCACGAGTCTGATATACCAATGTTCTCGGTGCTTTCCCATCAGGCGCTTAAACTACACCAAGCTCGCCTCATCGCATTGTTCCAAACCATCTTTGCCACCGTGAAGTTCATTTTGCATGACTTCCCACTCCGCGTTGTGACTTTCGGGATCCCGGGTGCATTGTCCTTCGATATCGATCTTTCTTATTTCAATGGATTCCTTCAACAGGCACAGCAGCAGTTCAGCAGTTTTATCAGATCCCCTCTGTTCTCCATGCCAGGGAAGAGGTTGATGAATGCAAGTGCGGCAAAAGCAGCCTCTGCGACAGTGCCGGTTGATTATGACTTGGCCGTCTGGGACTCCAAGGATCGTGTCATTGCTATCTTGATGGGGTACCTGCTTGCCTCCTTGATCGGGCTTCTCTATCTCCGTATCACCGGGCTGATGGCTGGTGCCAATCGCGGACAACGGATTGAGGGTCTGCTTGCCGAGGTGCTGATCCAAGCTGGGGGAGTCATGAAAGTGATCCTCATCATTGGCATCGAGATGATTGTTTTCCCCTTGTATTGTGGTAGTCTCCTTGATCTTGCTCTGCTCCCCCTCTTCTCCAATGCTACGGTGAGCTCTCGGATTGCTTTCACGGCTGCGTCTCCGCTCACATCCCTCTTCGTCCACTGGTTCGTTGGCACTTGCTACATGTTCCATTTCGCCCTGTTTGTGTCTATGTGCCGAAAGATTCTGAGGAGCGGTGTTCTTTGTAAGTTTGAAACTCCCAATTTGTCGGTTCTGGATTGAAATGCTAACTGCTTGACTATAGACTTCATCCGTGACCCCGATGATCCGACCTTCCACCCAATCCGCGATGTTCTCGAGCGCAGTATCGCTACTCAGCTTCGTAAGATTGGATTTAGTGCTCTTGTCTATGGTGCCTTGGTCATCGTTTGTCTTGGCGGCGTTGTCTGGGGACTGCACTTTGCACTCGACGGCGTGCTCCCAATCCATTGGTCGGCTAGTGCTCCTATGCTCGAATTCCCAGTCGACCTGTTATTCTACAACTTCGTGTTACCAATGGCGATTCAATCATTCAAGCCCTCAGATGGGTTACATGATTTGTATGACTGGTGGTTCCACAAGTGTGCCCACTTCCTGCGTCTCAGCAACTTTTTCTTCCCTGAGCGACACCTAGAGGAAGAGGGCTATCATGTTCGGCAGACTTGGTGGGGCCTTCTCTCCGGAAGCAAGGGGGACTGGGAACACCCTGTTATCGGCGATGAGCAACAGGCTGCTGCAGAACGGGAAAACCGTGACGTTTACTTCCTGCGCGATGGTCGATATGTGCGTGCCCCTGCTTCCGATCAGGTCCGCATCCCGAAAGGCACCCGCGTTTTCCTGGAAGTCACCGAGGATAATGAGCGCGTTGATAGGAAAGTTGATCCTGCTGATGGGCTACATGGTCGATCCAGCACCATGTTCACCAAAGTCTACATCCCTCCTTCTTTCCGAACTCGGATCGCTGCCTTCATCGTGCTCATCTGGCTGTTTGCCGCCACCACTGGAGTAGGCATCACCATTATCCCGTTGATCATTGGTCGGAAGATTATCACGTCGTACTCTTCCAGTCCAGTTCCGGTGAACGATGTTTACGCTTTTTCCAGTGGTCTCTGCGTGGTCGGTGCGTTTGCCTACCTAGCCTATCACACCCGCACTGCATTCCAGCTTGTGCGAGACCATACGACAGCATATCTCCGTTCTCCTCGCCAAGCAGGCCAGAATAGCTTGGACCTCGTGATGCATGTTGTTCAACTTCTTTACCTCGCTACAGTTGCTGTTGTCTTGCTCCCGTCGCTCTTTGCCCTTCTGACTGAATTGTACATCCTCATCCCAGCACACACCCTTTTCGGTGATGGACAGTCGCATGTTGTTCATGTTGTTCAAGATTGGGCACTTGGGGTGCTGTACGTCCAGATGGCCATCAAATTGACTGTATGGCAGCCACAATCTTGGGCAGCTGCCGCTCTCAATGGAATTTTCCAAAATGGTTGGCTAAAGCCCAATGTCAAGCTTGCCACCCGGGCTCTGGTTCTGCCGATTATCATCCTTACAACTGCAGCAATCGTCTTTCCCCTGTCTTTCGGGTTCATCGCCCGTTGGACCGTGTTCTACACACACGATGTGCAGCCTAATATCTACCGTTATGCCTACCCCATTACGCTCCTCATTCTACTGTCTGTGTGGGCAATCAATTTGCTGCTGCATAGAGTGGCAATCTGGCGCACTAATATTCGTGATGAAGTCTATCTCATTGGGGAACGGTTGCATAATTTCAGCGAGAAACGTGCGCGAGATGTCGGTGTATCGCGTCGGGTTATGACAGGATGATCGAATGGAGAGGGGTATTATTGTTCAGCCTAGATAGCTTCATGTTTCAGACTACTCCCTTACTTACTCTTACCTTAGTGCATGTACATTTTAAGCCACTCAAATGAAAAGAAGCACTATTTATTCACAGTGGAGCCTTTTTAAGGTATATGGAGGCGTAGCAGTACTTCTAGCAGAAACCCTCATTCCTTTGGTTTTGGCATTGAAAAGGTGGAGAGTAGTAAACAAAACAAGGTGAAGGAAGAGGCCAAGTAAAAAAATATAAAAGAAATATAGGTAGAATGAAACCTTGAATCAAGCTATCTATAGAAATGGGTCTAGACACCCGGTGGCACATTTTATACTTCACTCGTTAGCGTGGAACTCTGATACAATATATGTATATAATACACATTTCATTACCAACATCTCCGCTCGAATTCACCCACCGTTGAGGCTCCTGTGACCATACAGTGACAATACCACCACCATTAGTTGTTGCCTGCCACGTGACCCACTCTGGGCCTCTCGTGATCGCTCATTGGTTAGGCAACAGGATTCCCTTCATGCACAGTTGGTGGTTATCGGCCATCATCCTCAAGGCACCCATTGAATCTGCCTACCTTTTTTCAGCTTCTCCTCTCACTCACGAATTGAGTACTCTCCAGCGACCCTCACCATGCTTTCGTGAATGTGCCCTCTGCACTGTCTTGTGTCCGATACTCGAACCTCTATCTGTGATCCTTATCAATCCCCTCCGCAATCGTCATGTCAGTCCTCCGACATGGGGGAGGCGGCGGCGGCTTCCTCCAGCGACGTCTCACGAAGCTATATACCGATACGAAAACCTCATGCGAAAGCGTCACAACGGCATCGAAAGCCGTCGATGACCCTGAGCTCGTCGCCCTCCACCGGAGTTTCCAGAAACAGAGAGATCGCTTGCTGGCATGGGGTCTAGATTGGAGCGATGCCAGCGCGGCTCAGCCCAACGATATCGACGAATCCTTGACCGCCGCAGGCTTCAGCGATGTCGTTGAGAGTGTCATGTCATCAATCCAAGAACTTCTTAACGATGCCGAACAAATACAACATGTCGATGCGCCACTCCTGCCCTCTAAAGAACGAAAGGTCGATCTTCCGTCAAAAGATACTCTCGGCAGCCGACCCCTCAAGACACAATGGACAGACGATGATATCACTCGCTCAAACACGATCTTGAACGAACTCACTGGCTGCATCGATACCCTGTATGACTTGTCGCGCTCGCGCCGCACGATGGCGTCCAGTATGTCGTCAAGCAGGATGGGTGGGCGCAAGCTGCGTGCTAGCCCCGCATCGCCCTACGATTCTTCCCACGGCTCATTTGGTGAGTCTAAAGAGAAAGTCCAGAGCCCAAAGCCAATGTTCGACCCATTCTCCTACTCGCCCTCGACGCCACACCACGACTCCTCCAATCCCTTCCTCCCGTCGAACCACCTCCTCATTGAGCGCTCGGCTCTTCAACTATATGGAGCAGCTCATGAGAATAGTCCTCCGCCATATGAACCTGTTGCGGCGTCTTCCAATTCGCGCGCTATTGGGCGCCTGAATTCTTCGGCGTCGCCCGTTCTTGCCTCCACGAAAGAGTCGCATGTAACTGTCCTAGTTGAATTCATCCCCATCATGATGGATGCCGAGATGAGCCCCAAGAGTTCTCGATTGGAAAAGCTTCAGCAGTCTTTGGAACAATTGCTGCAGAATGCCCGGATATCTCACCTAGGTCTTATGCGATTCCTGGGCTACTGCATTGACCAGCCCAATGCTCGCTATGCATTCCTCTATCAGATGCCAGTCGACTATTTTCCGTTCCTTCAGAATCCCAGTGACTTGTTGAAAGAGCTGACGCCCAAGCCATTGGTGGCTCTCCTTCCTTCAGCTGAAGAATACCGAGAGAAACGAGTCCCAAATCTGGACACTCGCTTTCGATTGGCTTATGATCTGTTAATGTCTGCTCTTCACCTGAGAAGTCAGAACGCCGTACACGGTAACATCAACAGTAGCAATGTGATCTTCTTCCCTGGTCGGGATGATGCTAGTGATGACGAGAGCGGACTTGCCCCAGATCTCCGTCGTCCTTATCTAACTTCTCCCGCACGGTTCTCTGGCGATGGACCCACACCTGAGCCATTGTCTTCGGCAATGTATCGTCATCCAGAGGACAAGAGGTCTGTTGAAGATGATGGCGCTTGGGCATATGATCTGTATTCTCTTGGCCTTATCCTCTTGGAGATTGGACTATGGGCTCCAGTCGGTCGGCTTTGGAAGATGAAATATGACCGTACTTGGTTCAAGCATCGCGTGGAAGATCTCTACGTCAAGAAGCTTGGCCCGAAGTGCGGTGGCGCTTACCTCCAAGCCGTTCAGCTATGCCTTGATGCCCCCAACTTCCATCTCTCGACACAACCCATGACCGATCTTGGTCTTCGTGTGCCTCAAATCTACCACTACCCAGTCCTTGACCTGTCAGAACCTGACGGCACCTTCTCGTTCTCAATGAACTTCATGTACACGATTTGCAAGATTTTGTGGTCTTGCTGCCGAATTGACATATTCTCGGCGCCCGGAGCAGAGGAGTTGGATGACTGTCTCCCACTTGCGCTAGTTCCGACCCCCGAACCCCTAACTATCCAGGACAAGGTCAATGCATACAAAGCAAAGCATGACTTGACCAATTTGGATAAGAAGCTCCCAAGCATTCCTCAACAGGACTGGACTCCTTCAAATGAGGAAAAGTCTGTTGAGAAGCCTGCTAAGAAGCGCACTGTCAAGAGGCTTCCACACCTGGAAATTCCAGATGACCACTTACAGGAGTGGAATTTCCACATGATGCCCCGGTTGAGTCGTCTCCTTCAAAAGATTCTGAAAGAGTCCTCCGAGTCTTGTGGGGTCAACCTCATCATGACTGGCGAGTCCGCCGAGAGCGCGAGAACAACCATCTGTGTCACTTGCGCTAGCGTGAAGAAGGTACGATTCGCTTTGAAGAAGCACTTCTCTCTCGGTCGAGATGATTGGGATTTGATTGTACTACGTGGCGACATCGAAAGATCCAAGGTGCCTCGCAACAAACGTCGCCGGCCGGCCAAGACTCGTCCCAATGTGTCGAATGCAACTCCCTTTCGCCAGAGAGAGCTTAACCCATGTCACCAGCAAAGACCTCTTTGCGGAGCGTCCATTGGCGCTTTCCAAAACGAAGAGCATTTACCCCCCGTCTCCTATGGTGGCGCCGTCATCGTCGATGGCTTGCCATATGGTCTGACAGTTCATCACATGTTGGAAGCTCCCAGTGAAGACGAAGGCCAAGGCAATAGCCACGGAGACCCGAACCCAGAAGACCCATCAAGGTCGGTGGGTAATTGGCCGCGCGATACAGCCAATACACAGAACCCCGAATTCATGTATAACTATACCGAGGACGACCAGCCTGGAATGAACCTCGAGTTCGAACTTTCCGATCTGGAGGACGGGGATGATGCATCATTCTCGCAAGGTCTAGAGTCTGGGTATGATGAATTTTGGCTCTCGGATGAAGAGTCGTCGGATGATGACTCTCTTGGTGGCGACGATGACGATGACGACGCTGCATCAATCGGCGACACTGCTGGCATCGAACCTGGTGAAGAACCTCGGCTGCTCGTCACCCAGCCAGCCATTGACGACGTGCACGATGACTTTTTTCCATCCCCAGAGGATCGAGATGATGAACATCTCGCCTCACACTCCCTTGGCTATGTCCACGCCTCCTCTGGAGTACGTCGCTGGACTCGAAAGGGCCTCAAGCATGAGATTGATTGGGCCCTCATCAAAGTGGACGAAGCCCGCATGGACCCCCGCAATATCATCCTCGATACCACCGGATCCAGTATCGCCCGTCCAGGACGGCCCATTCCACCACAACCCATTTTCTTGAATAAGGTCGCCCGGATGGAGGAGCTAGGTGGTTTGCAAGTTCATTGCTGTGGCCGGACAAGCGGGCTACAGACCGGCCAGATATCCAAGGCCATGACACTGGTCAAGCTGCATGGCCGGCATTCTTTCTCGACAAGCTTTTGCGTCAATGGGAATTTCGGAGGTAAGAGGTGCTCCGCAGATCCATGTTTATGTCTATATGATCCTTAATTAGATACCCTTTGTTTTTTTTTGTTATGCACACCCTCTTTTGTCTTCCCCTTATAAGCTGGTAAACAAACAGCACCACCACACCTAAGACATACACACACACACCCATCGCCTCGTATCGAGTAGCGTTTCATCAAGCTAATCATCATTATGATTCAACAGCCCCCGGTGACTCTGGCGCATGGGTCTTCGACCGCCCAACCGGCCGCGTCTGCGGCCACGTCCTCGCCTGGTCCGAAAGGACAAATACAACCTACATCTCCCCGATGGAGGTCACCCTCGATGATATCGCCCGTACCCTCAACGCATCCCTCGTCTCCCTCCCCGGCGACCCAGGCAGATCGACGGCCTACGCGGACCCTACCTCGCCGCCCGCCCAATACAGATACCAGGCTCAGCAGCTGCCCGGGGACTTTGGCCGTCTAGCCCTTGGGGCTGGAGGCAGCCCCGGTCCGCTTGTTCCTCCTCATCCACATCACTTTCCTCATCCTCATGGCCACCCAGGCTATGCTCGTCCTCCGCCTCCGCCACCTCCTCCCCCTCCTGGCTCGCGCGAAGCCCATGGACCTGTATACCGTGGCCCTGTCCCTCCGATTCCGCCATCCCTTTTGAGTGGTCCGCGCAGTGTCGAGAGACAACTTGCTTGAGCTTTGAATTATATAATATTGGTGTACTTTGGAGATTTATGTTTTTTTTTTCTTTTTGAATGGGATATTTTGTGATTATGATATGACTGCATTGATGTTTATGTCGACAATACCCACGGTGAAGCGTCTTGTGTCTTTTTGGTTTGTGTACATCGTATGATCGGCCAATTATATCTACTTGTTATTGTTAGATATCAGGTCAATTTTTCATGAGAAGTAGTCAACTTCCATAAAATGAACCCTAAAATTGTTCATACATAGTGCTCCCTCAGGTACTTCTTGTGCCGCACTCTTTATTGTGTCATTCACGTATCCCATGAGACACTGGGAGAAAGCCGTGTCAAGTTTCTTGGGATCTTTGCTCAGGTCACCTCTCTCTCGTGAAGCCGGTTTGGAGAAGCTAGACTCGTAGCGATAAGACAACAGAGTAGATGAATCTTCATTTTTGTGTCTCGTGATAGTGTTCTATACTCTAATATAAAGGTTATGAGGATTGAAGTAATTAACATCTGAAAAGAGATCACTGACCTTGTGGGTCGGTGTAAGTTAGTAGAAGGTTGTAAATTGTGCAGATTAGCAGTGAGGACAAAAGAGCCATTGGCCCCTTTATAAGGAGAGAGGACGAAAGGTGGTTACGAATGACGTTCACTGTTATTGATGATCCGCGTCCCCGAAGAGAATCTAGGTGGAAATCATTCCTTTGGAAAACAAATCATACGGTGCCACTGATAGGTGGAGTAGAAGAGATCAACACAAGGGCTGTAAGATAGCACGAAAAGAAAGACGGTGCGATATATTGACGTCAGAGTAATTATTATTGATAGTTGGTTTTAGCTGCAGGACAAGGTAGATCGATATTTTCTATCGCCCATTAGGCTAGAATAAACAGCTGAGCTTTGCGGAATGATCTATTTCCACCAGGTGAGATTCTGTATAGTAACTCCATCGGTTATTTCCTGCTCCGCTCATATCAGTATGTGATAAACGAAGGTGATAGTCGAAGGAAACTAGGCCGATCGGGGCTGTCGATTTTATAGCGGTCATTCGTGCTGTAGTTCTGGTATTTAGCTTGAGTTTTCTCCACTGAAATGAACTCTTGTTTCTCGATTTGAGATTTACCGATGGCTCTTTTAATATCTTTTTCCGAGTCCCGAGGTAAACTAATGAAGGTAATGAGGTATCCGCTCCTTTTTTACATTAAAGCGATAGCTAGCAACCACTATCTCAAAGAGACTTCAAGCGACGGGACAATAGAAAGTCGAGGGTAATTTAACATATATTTCTTTATATCCTGAGATAATCGAGTAGTCATGACACCAATGTGTTTAAGTGAGTTCATATTCTACAACCTAAGGTCATGGTTTGAGCAGCAGAAAACTCACAGGTGAATACGACGCCGCAAATAAGAGCTAAGCCTCGCCGCTCTCACTTCTAATCTATTATAGGCAGCAAGATGAGCACTAGAGCCTCTTTCTCGATTTTCTGGTAGATCTATTATCAGAATCTGATAATATAGCTGCCTATTGGCCGTGAAGTGTCAATTTGGCCCCCAACCGACCAAGCCCTTGTGTCAGCCCGAATCTGACATCGGACCAGCTTTGGCGCAATTTATAACATTGCAAGGATATCAACGCCTATTGCTTCTTTCGTATCTTCCCTCCCTGAACCCTACCATGCATCGAAGAACAGGCCGCTCGAAATCAAAGAATGGCTGCATTACCTGCAAAATGCGCCACGTGCGATGCGGTGAAGAAAAGCCTAATTGCGTGCAATGTATCAAGACGGGGCGCAAATGTGATGGTTACAGCAACCAATCCCAAAAGGAGCTCCGGAAAAAAGTCACAGACCCATATCCTGCGTGGCTAACTGTCAGCCCTGATACCCGAATAGTCCTTGTCCCGGGTTCACGGGAAGAGAGGAAATATATCCACACATTCTGCACACAGACTTCTTCAGCCCTCTCGGGGTTCTTTGCTTCGGAAGTGTGGAATCGCTTTCTCCCGCAACTCAGTCATCGAGAGCCGACTGTTCGGCATGCCGTTGCCGCGGTCAGCGCGATGTATGAGCAACTATATCACCCAAATGCTAGTCAGGGCGGCTCTGATGGCTTTCCACTTCAACAATACACCAAGGCCATCCAGAAGTTCCGGCAACAATTGGTGAATCCTCGAGACTCTGATTACGACTGCTTACTTGTCACCTGTCTCTTGTTTGTATGCTTGGAGATGCTCAGGTCCAGTCACGCGAGCGTCCTAGATCATATTCAGGGCGGAATGCAAATACTTCTCAGACAACAGGATGAAAAGACCAACCAACTTAAAAGAGACACCGTTGACCAAGAACTACGTCAATCATTCCGCCGACTGAGCATTCAGCTCCCCCTCTTCGGTCGATTTTTGATACCCTTCCACCCTCAAACAGAAACAGCGTTATCCCCAGAACAGATTCTCATCTTCGATAATATTGCTCAAGCTCGAGACTCTATGACAATCCTGATGAACCGGGGCCTGGGATTGATCCGACCCATCGGCATCGATAGGATTCTCCCATCCGAAGAAGTCAATCAGCAACAGATACACGAACAGCGTATCCTCGCACAGGCATTCTACAACTGGAATGTGGCTTTTACTACGATGATGCAAAAGCCAGCCAAAAGCGTGGGCATTTTGGATTCACGTGCTCCACTAGCCCTCCAAATCAGCTATTTTGTCTCTATCACATGGATTCTTAGCTGCCTATCACGAGACGAATCCGTCTACGATCAGCATTTCGCATCTTTCGAAGCCAGCGTAGATGCAGCAGAGAAGATTCTCGCCCTCAGTGCACAGACAGCCAATCCATCAACTCCTGAGATATTCTCTCTAGATGCTGAAGTTGTCCCAGCAATATACTTGACCGCAATGAGATGTCGAGAACCAAACATTCGACGCCGGGCAATCGCGGTTCTGTCCAACTACCCCACAAAGGAAGGACTGTGGGGCCAAGGAGAGCGCCAATATCAAATTGCTAAATTGATACTAGAGATAGAAGAGCGACACTATCAGCATCTTCCAGTGGAAGAAAGAATTCCTCGTGATTCACACCGGGTGTATGAAGCTCTGATCTTCCCAACAAAAGGTACCTACCTGGACCCGTGCCCGGTAACGATTATGATGAAGCCACATGGGCCCCAAGGGCCATGGGCTACCCGGGTTGAATTTGTGGAGCTGCCAAAGCTGAAATAGAAATTTGAAGGTTTAGACAACAGGAATAGAATCATGAATGGCCGGCCTTTCCCCAAAAAGTCTTCTTCTAGAATCTCTTCCCTTAGGATGCTGATGTGTAAATCATCGTTGCCTAGCTAGATCATAAGCCATGGCCACAGTAAGCCCAACGTAATCACCCTTCAATATCTAGACCATCTCTGTTATGCCACCTCTAAAGGATTACGGGCAAGCCAATAAGGGACGTCCACCTGCTGACTTCTGTTAAAGTGGATCTGGGGAGCTCAGACGAAAGTTATATTTTAGCGCCGGGGAAAATTACGGAGCAACCAATGAGTGTGCCTCCACTAGGCTGCATCTATAAAATTTGATCAACCCATCTTTCTGTCCGAGCAATGCCCAATTAGAAATTGCAGTCTATTCGTGAAGCCCGAAACGTATGAAGCTAGATACTACAAAATTGACACCAAAGACTAGATACGTCATAGAGGCGGAGCAGGCCTTTCCTTAGATTTGGCTATTTTTGTTCATTGGATATCTCTATCAAAATTGACACCGTCGAAAACCTGTCCAGCGATCTGCCTATAAAAGCGTTGACTTAATCCATGAGATCCATTTTTCGGTTTCAAATCACTTGTCCCAGACCACTCCAGCAAATCTGAATCCTTGAAGTTTTCATTTTCAAGTTTTATATACCAAGCTCGCCAACATGTCTTATACCATTCAGCAACTCATTGAGATAAATCAGGGATGCACTGCACTGAAAGATGATTTGGAGCCTTCATATGGATATGTCCCAACAAAGGGAGCAGGAATGGCCTTCTGCATCCTGTTTGGTCTATCTATGCTTGCACATACTTTCCAATTCTGCTGGAAGCGCACCTGGTGGTGCAGCGTCTTTGCCATCGGATGTTTAGGTAAGAAATCTTCCTCAACCCAATTACCATGAAGCATACTGATGAAGTTCTATTTTAGTCGAACTCATTGGTTGGGCTGGCCGGACATGGTCCTCTGACTGCCCATATAACTCGACAGCATTCATGATCCAGATCTCAACTTTGATCATTGGTTAGTAGAGTCCATTCCCGGTTCATATCATATCCTCCAGCATGAAGCTAATCAAGATCTCAAATTACAGGTCCGACTTTCTTCACAGCAGGAATCTACATCCTCCTGGGTCGATTCATCCAAATCTTCGGCCGCGAGTCCTCCTTCCTCTCGCCAAAGCAATATCTTTGGATCTTCTGCACATGTGACATAATCTCACTCGTCGTCCAAGCAGCCGGTGGTGGCCTTGCATCTTCCGAATCGGACAAAATCGGCGGAGACACGGCCACAGGCACGAACATCATGGTAGCCGGTATCGTCTTTCAGCTGATCTCTATTACAATCTTCGTCGGATGTGCAGGTGACTTCCTCCGTCGAATTACCAGACTTGGATATCTGAGTTGGGCTTCTGGGTCTTTTATGATGCTGACGGGTGCGATGGTTCTATCGGTTGTTTGTATTTACATCCGAAGTATTTACCGTACTGTGGAATTGGCGCAGGGGTGGAGTGGATATCTCATTACGCATGAGTCTTACTTTATTGGGCTTGATGGTGTCCTGATGGTTGTTGCTGTTGGAATTTTCAATGTTTTTAATCCTGGCTGGTTGCTTTCTTCTGTTAGGGGTGCAGGTTTGCCTGTTTCTCGGCCGACTGCTGAGGTGAAGCCTGTACGCTATTAAGGTGGAATGAGCTGCACTCGGGGACGACCATGTGGTGTTTTATGGTTAGATGGGCCCAGGCACTTCATCATCCCTAGCCAGGCCCTGGTCTTTCTTTTATGACTGAATGTCGTATTGTAGTCGGCGATATGTGGTAATTGGTATATACTCTGAGCACTCAATAGAAATATAAAGGCGTTATGTTACTCATGCTATTATAATTTTGTTCTTTTTTAGTAAATGCGGGCAGCTTTGTCTGTTTGTAACATTCAATGGCGTTGCCTTCGTTGTATATACGCTCAGTCTGGAAGAACCACAGTATCGCCCATATGGGATGCTACAGTTAACCCCTAGGGGTGACCCAAGCATAATTATGTAGCTCTCCAAAGCATACATGTCTAGATCTTGGTGCTCGCGGCATATACTGCGATGGTTCGCATTAAAAGAGGAAAATTTCAAATCTGCGTGACACCAGTAGCCTAACTCTACTACTCAGCTGCTATGAAACAACTTGATGACATACCTCAGCCACTTAAGTTACCGCTAGTGGCAGTCGTCCCCCAACTCTTCAGTCATGTTTGATCTCGGCCTCCCTACATACTCCCCGAGAATCATCCGGGAATGCAGCACATAGGCTTCAGAATGTACGAGGGTAAGATACCCGGTCAATATGTTTTGTATGACTCAAGACTGGTGTCTCAGTTACTTTAATTCGCACGTTTTCCGAGCCATATTGCTTCCTGCATACTGTAAGGGTATTTTAGATGGTGACTCTACAAATTATTTCTGTCAATTCCTACATGAATTTCACGTTACCTCTAGAGTCCAAGTCATACCTTTGTAACCCCTTTCGTGATGTTGTTATATTGCATTTCAAGCTCTTTCGCTTAGCATTGTGAAGTGTTCGTGTCTGATTCATGGGTCGCATTAAACCGAGTCCTCCAACCTCCCAGCAGCAAGTATGAGGAGATTACTATGTATGCGCCCTAAATCAGCAGTTAGTATGATGCAGGACCATTCTGTATGTTAATTGTGGCGAGTACGAGATCATTTGCACCAAACTCGGCAACCAACATAATCAACGTCAGCCTAGTTTCCGCTCATCAGGTATGTTCCGTCGAAACCTAGGCTCCGTCGTGGCCATGCGCACTCTCGGATTCATCCCCGGCTTCTTCTCCTTCCTCTTCTTCGTCTACGCTCTCCCACTCGTCATCGAGTTCGCCCTCGGCGAACTCTTCAAAGTCTGCCTCTTCCATGACTTCGTCCCGAAGCAAGCTGAGTAACTGCAAGAGTCCGGCTTGCGTGCCAAATGTGCCTTGTCCTGGAGGGTTTTGACTGGGGCTCTGTGTACCTTCGGTCGATGCTGAAGGGTCTGCTCCGTCATGAGAGATTGGAGTAGCTTTGTTGACAAGATCAGGAGCTAGGCTGACGATGCGGATGGCTTTGGTGGGGAAGACACGAGCCGGGTTTGCGCCTGGGGCTGCAGGTATGCCACCGGGTTGAGTGGAGTCGCGCCAGCCAAGGGTCTGTGTTTGTCTTTGTAAGCCCATTCGTTTCTTTTATAATTCAGATGTTTGAACTTGAACTCACGGTGTAAGTACTCATAATTGCATCATCGGCCAGCGCCATGTAACTGATTGGGACGGCAAGTTGAGGTGCGGAGCTGGTGAGCAGCGAGTAGGAAGCGCGGGTGGGATGTTCAACATCCTGGATCTTGTCGTTATCATCGAGAGCAACGACGTAGATACGATCCTGAATCTCAAACATGACTCGGTGATTGCGGAGTGATAACCAGCCTCCGAGGTCAAAGCTTGACCCATCTGACTCGCACTCAAGAATGGAGCTGTTCGCTGCCAGGCTGGCTTGGTCATGGACTGCCTTGCGCCAGTTGGAACAAATGAATACACGACCGGCGCGAGAGAAGCCGACAAAGAGATTGCCGCAAATCATACCCGATCCCCATTCATCCTCTCCGTGCCAGACGTGTTCAGGGTCACTCGGCGCAGGAAGAGGGCCTTTTTCAATCTTGATTGGCACCAGCCCATCCTTGCTTGGGGTTCCAGGTGGGAAGAATCGATGCGATGGGCCGAGTCGCGCAGCTCCAGCCAGAGCCGCGCCTGCAGAGGGGAATGTGGCCGGGGGTGGGCGGACGTGGTATCTGTCAGTGCAATGGGCCGGTTGCAAGTTGCCCAAGAATGCACCAGTTTCCTTGTTGTATGCAAAATATCCCTTCTTTCCCATGGAATAAATCACCGCGTCCTTGCTCTGGTCTAGATGGCCGACACCGTCTTTCTCTATCTTCAAGTGGGTGGTCAATTTTGGAGGCCGCTGCGTCATATCGTAAACAAAGCCCTGTCCCTTGTTAGACACAACACAAAGGTTCCAATGAGACAGCTGGAAGCCTCTAGTCTGACAATCGTGGTTCAAGATCGCAATGCGACGGAACTCTCCGCGCTTGGCGCCTTCTTGATCCGTCTGCCAGACCTCCACGGAATCTCCTTCGCTATCAAACACAGCCATTCCATCCTGATACTCCAGGTGGGCGTATGGTCGGACCGAGTCACCATCGGTATCCAGCACCGAGGGAAGTCGCCATAAGATGTCGCCAGTGTCCATATCAGTGACGTTCAATCCTCCAGCATGAGAGGTGGAAACAAAGAACCGGCGCTTGAAATCGGCTTTGAATCGCCAAACAGGATCATTGCCAACTTGAAGCACAGACTCCTGGCTCACTGGACGTGTATTAGCCCAATTACGAGCGAGTAGTGTTTGGCGCTTGCATAGATCCTTCCATGACGTTGTGTTCTCAAACACTTTGGCAAAACTGTGTGTGTCGGAGAGGAACGAAAAGTCTCGGGAACCTCCAGGGGGTTGAGAGGTCTTCGAGTCGGAAGTGTAGATTGCTTCTTGGTGGGTGATGTCGATAAACTGATGCCAGGCCTTTGAGGTAGCAGTGAGAGACGCGAGGGCCGAGACGGGTGCGAATTCCAGGATTTGGAGGACAATCTCTGGGGGGAGGATGGTGAGAGGATCCACCACGGGTGCACCGATGGTCATCTTCGTAGATTTGGGATACTAAGGGTGTTGAAGGTAATAAGTGACGATGGTGGGGAGTCGCAGTATTTTGTCTGCCCCCACCGCCCTAGCCATGACGTAGTTTCTACAACCACGTGCTAGAGAAGTCTGGATGAGCTTTCTTATTTTTAAGCTTAAATTGATGCGGCGTCAAATATATCCGACTTCAGTGGGAGAAGCTTTCGGCACAAAGTGGTGAAATTCATGAAAGGCAAATCGAAAAATTATACGGAGTGTGCACCTGGTCACATATAGATGGAACACGCAATAGAAGAGAACGATCTCTAAGATTTTTTTAAGCACTCTGCAGAAATTCTGTCCTTAGCTCTCATTCAGCCATCCATGCAGACTTTTGAAGACAGATTATTGGGGCCAATTTAAGACGTTTTAATCTTTTGAAGTATATATCACTGATTGTGGCATCTTTGAAGACATATGCAACTGCAAGAACTGAGAAAAAAGCACAGTATCTAGAGTAACGCTTGGGAAACACATTTCCAGCTTTCGTGCTACTAAGCACTATCGAGGGTTCGGGGAAATTGATCCGCGAATCCATGCTCTCTAAGCAGATGAAGAATTACAGGCTTTTCTGATTGGCTCAGTTCAGAGGGAATACTGGCCCACAACAGTGACCTTCTCCTTTGAGAATTCGTAGTCAATGTCATAATCTGAGTACAAGGTTTTATGATGGAATGTTATAAAAGCAAAAAGAACCAATCAAATGCCAAATTATCCTTAACTTGCGAACTTACGAACTAAATGCATTGAATTGCCCTTTCAATACTCCTAACCCTGTAGATACAGTCAGAGCATAGATTTGTGAAATGACAAACTTGGTTAACAATAAACGACGAGCCTCCACATTTAGTACTTATGTAGTTCTATTTGGGCACCTATGAGATCTCCCCCTCAACCCCGACCCCAACCCCGCCCCTTCACTTCACTTCAAAATGGGCAATCCAACCCTCGAACACTTCGCCGCTCTCCAGCTCGACTACATCATTATAGGCGGAGGAACAGCCGGTCTAGCAGTCGCTGCACGTCTGAGCGAAGACGCCGAAGTCCAAGTTGGAGTCATTGAAGCCGGCCCATCAGCCCTAGACAGAGAAAACAACGGAGCAATCAATATACCCGGCCGATACGGCGAAACGATTGGATCTGAATATGACTGGCAATTCGAAACAATATCCCAGCCAGGTCTTGGAGGACGCTCGCTGCCCTGGCCGCGAGGTCGTGTTCTAGGTGGCACAAGTGCGCTCAACTTTATGGCGTGGAACCGCGGCCATCGTGATGATTATGATGCGTGGGCTACATTGGGTAATCTGGGGTGGGGATGGAAAGATCTTCTGTAAGCATTGCCATGTTTGGATTGAATTCTACTTGGCCAATGAAGTACAGGGAGCTAACTTATCGTAGACCCTTCTTCCGTCGCAGCGAGAACTTCCACCCGCCTAGCGCTGCCCATCAGGAATATTATAAGTCTGCTTATGATCCCGAAGTTAACGGAACAGGCGGGCCTCTACAGACATCGCATGTCAAACAATACGGCATCGCGCACCAGTATTGGCATGATACGCTCAATAATCTCGGAGTAGAATCTATTCCCGATAGTCTGGCAGGTGCTAACAGTGGTGCGTGGAATATGATTTGCACGCTAGATCCAGCCCGTCAGGAGCGTAGCTATTCTGCTTCGGCATACTACGCACCCATAGCTGGACGCAAAAACATGCACATTCTCACTGAGGCCACGGTATTGGAGGTTATACTCGAATTGGACAACAATAGTGACTGGGCTGCAAGAGGAGTCCAAGTTCGTTGTGGCGAAGAAGAAGCTAGCATCATAGCTACTCGAGAGGTTATCCTCAGTGCTGGAAGTGTGCAATCTCCACAACTCCTGGAACTGTCGGGGATAGGTCAACGCGATATATTGGAAGCTGCTGGTATTGATGTCAAGATTCATAATCCCAATGTTGGAGAGAATCTACAGGACCATATGAGTATGGGCGCTTCAATTCAACTCCATCCTTCAGCTGACAATTATAGTGACCGCTACTATCTTCGAAATACCACCTACCTTCCCTACTCGCGACGACATCCTCGGTGACCCTATTCAACGCACTGCTGCTGACCACGCCTATTACGCCTCGCAAACGGGACCATGGACTGTGATGCCGTGCTCTGTGGCCTACACACCACTCTCACAAATCTTGCCAACAGACGAATGCGCTGAGCTATATAATGATGCTCAAAAGATTGCAAAAGAAACGGGCCGTATATCCGATGCCCTTTTAGCCAGCCAGTTTGAGCCAGGCAAAACACGCGGCCAGATCGAGTCCCTCTTCGATCTTGGAAATTGGAGTCCAGATTTCGTCTCTGAGCCGGGCAAGAAGTATGCCACGATGCTTCAAATGCTGCAGTATCCGTTCTCTCGGGGGTCAATCCATCTGCCTCCGAAAGGCGACAAGCAGAAAACTACGGTTGACGACAAGCCTGTTATTGACCCACAGTATTATCTCGGTGCTGGTGAGATCGATAGAAGAATCATGGCAAAAGCGCAAAGGTGGACAGATCGAATCTGTCAGACTGAGCCTTTGGCCCATATTGTCCGGGCTCGTGTCTTTCCTACACCCGCTGAAACGTCTGATTCTGAGGAAACTGTGTACGATAAGTTTGTCTCTAACTATACAATCACCGACTGGCATCGTAAGTTTCGCTCCCGCTCCCTGGTATATTGAATCTCCTGTTGCTAATTTTCGTAGCTATTGGTACCTGTGCTATGGGCGGATATCAGAATGCTAAAGCTGGCGTCGTCGACGAAAGACTTCGTGTGTACGGTGTTCGCGGCTTGCGGGTTATCGATGCTAGTATCATGCCATTGCAGATCGGAGCGCATATTCAAGCAACTGTCTATGCGATTGCTGAGAAGGGGGCGGAGATGATTAAAGAGGACTATGCAAGCAGAGGATAGAGACATAATTCTGACGCATGATGCTATACACCACTAAGAAAACACGTAGTTGCGCACGTGAAGACACATAGTATCTCCCAGCAAGAACCCGGCATAACAAGCATGGTACTCAGGAATTGGATATTTCAACCGTAGCCGCGAATATCCAGGGATGACCCGTGCAGCTCCAATCATGGCAATCCCGGGGGCGTCAAGTGGGTCAATAGTCGCATTAGCACAAGTCATCAAAATATACAAACAAAAAGCAGGCATCATAACGCAGTGAAATAAAATATCCGGCTCAAGGTTTTCCATCGGAGATGCGCCGATCTCGCATCGGCTAATGCCGAGCCGGGCGTGGGGATAGCGCTTCCCGCTAACACGAGGGGCAAAAGAGGTATAAAAGTGACGAATTCCACCGGGACTCCGGAAACTTTTCCAGCTTAGCGCAGACCATTTGACAACCTCTTCCTAGTTGAGTCATTCGTGAATCGTCACACGAAACATCTTAATCCGACGCGGAAACTGATTCCCGCGTGGGTCGAACCATATATACTGCCGGGGATCTTTCGTTTCACTGGGCACTTATCGCATACACATTTTCTATCCGGCATTATGATTTCAGGAATCGCGCATGTCAATATTACTATCCCGAAGGGTACCTTGCATCATGCCCAGGAGTTCTACGGCACTACGCTCGGGCTGACCTCGGCACCGGTACCTGAGTTGCAGAAGGGGACTATTCTATGGTTTGCCGACTGAACTATAGACCCAGGAGAATATACCTAACCTGCTGTATAGGTTCAATCTCGGCTCCAGTGGACAGCAAATACATGTCACAATCGGTTCTACTGATCCCACATCTACCCGGCATCCATGCTTTAAGCTCGATAGCCGTGAGGAACTTGATGAGATTAAGGCGAGCATCTATGAGCATCATCTTCGGGGTGGACCTGCGGCACCAATGGCTGCTGATAAGCCTGGAGAGCAGGATTCTGGTAAGTTGCTTGTTCCTAACCGCGGTCCACACTTCCGTGTGCTCATGCATCATAACTATAGGGACCCAGGCAAAGGAGTATCCCACACGCTTTTTTGCCCGCGATTATGGTGGTAATTTGCTTGAATTCACTATGTAAATACCTTGATCTTGAAATGCGAATTGAATGAATTGCACTACATACATAATCCATGGCCTCGACTTTTGCCAAGAAAAAAACCTATAGCTCTGATGTTGTTAGCCAGGGCGGTATGGATTGATCTGATGAGGTTAGGGTTTAAGTTATGAATATCACATTAAGATGAGCGTATTGGATATACATGAACTAGCCAAGACCTAACGTTAACTTAATTGTTATAAAAGTTGAGTCAATATGCGTAATGAGCACAGTAGACCTTGCTTTACCCCACATCGTCATGACTCTACATGACTCAAGCATCCTCTCCACTCCTCCACCCCAGTACGGTATATAAGACTGCTCTTGCAGGGAGTAGCTGCTCATAGACTCCAATCCAGTTTAGGGAATACATCACACTACACTCCTCCAACTCCATTCCTGCAAATTCCATGACAATAGCCTCAACCGCAACCTCAACCATAATTACACCCCCCACCATGTCCCTAACCTTCTACGACATCGCCCTGGCACCCCCAGTCGAAAAAACTTCCTGCTCACCAAACCCCTGGAAAACCCGCTACGCCCTAAACTTCAAAAAAGTCCCCTACAAAACAACCTGGGTGCCCCTCCCCGACATCAGCAAGGTCCGCGTCCCCTTCAACATCCCCGCTTCCCGCAAATTCGCCGACGGATCCCCCTACCACACCCTCCCCATCGTCTCAGACCCAACCACAGGCCGCACAATAGGCGACTCCTTCGAAATCGCCGTATACCTGGAAGAACAATACCCATCCTCGGGAGCGGGGGAGCTTTTCCCAGCCCAGGACCTTGATTTCGTGTTTGGACGGGAACTAGAGCTTTTCGCGCCGATCGCGGTCGCGGATGTCGGTGAGGATGGGGCTATCCCGGCATACGTGCGGTTCAATACCAATGTGGATAGTGCGTTTACTGCGCATGCGCAACTGATGGGGGGTGGGTTGCCTTTGGATCCTGCTAGGGCGCAAGAAACCAAAACGGAGTTTGAGAAGAGGATTGGAGTGCCGTGGGATGCTATGGTTGTTAAAGGGGAGGCGAGGGGGGAGTTGATGAAGTCGTTTGAGGAGACATTAAGTGGGCTTGCGAGTTTGTATAGGAAGGATGCGAGTGGGCCATTTTTATTGGGGACTCGGGCTACTTATGCGGATTTCATTGTTGGGGGTTGGTTGCGTATGTGTCAAGGTACCTTGCCTGGGGAAGAGTGGGACGTGATCAAGGGGTGGTATGGCGGCATCTTTGGAAAGTTGCATGAGGCGCTAGAGGTGTTTGCGCAGATGGACTAGATCTGGAGGGTTTGGCGACGCTCCTGTATATATGATAGTAGTCTCGTATACGTTAAATAAACACTAGGGGAAACCTAGATTATGTCGGGTACGACATGTTCACTGAGCAGCCGCTGAAGGGTGCCAAGGCGTACTATTTGCGTACTGTGCTGCATGACTGGCCGGATAAGCAGTCGCTGCTGGCGCTTGCCCGTGTTCGGGAGGCTATGGCTGACGACTCGGTGCTGCTGATTAATGAGAATACCTTGCCTGAGGTTGGCGCGTCGAGCTTCTCGGTGTCGTTGGATATTAACATGATGAATATTTTTGCTGCTTTGGAGCGGACTGAGAAGCAGTGGGTTGATCTGCTGGAGCGGGCTGGCTTCAGGGTGGTCAAGATTTGGCGCGCTGACTATGATGGTGTCGGATCGAATGCGTTGTTCGAGGCTGTCGCTTGTCAACTGTGGAATTGATATAACGTTCACTTGATTTGGAATGTACCGGGCTCTCGAGAGATTCAATCAATCAATGATAGTCCTCGGTATCTCATGATCCACATGCTGAAATTCACAACTCTTTCAATCTGGTATAAATAGACAAGATCTTAGACATTGATACGCCCTGCTAGAATATCGTGAGGACTTTGGCGAGGTTTAGCAGGAACCTGCTGGCTATTCATGAGAAGAGACGGAAGATCGACTTGAAAAAGTGCTCCACGTCGAGGGTGATTTTCGCTGGCGTTTGAAATTTCGAGTTCAACTGCGTTAGTGGAACCAGAAAATTTTATACCGGTAAAGTATACATAATACACGCGTGATGCTTGCATAGTCGCAGTCTTGTAGCGCAGTTGGCGCTCAGTTGCACATGTTTGCTTACAGATCAAAAAAGGCTCTCAGGCAGTAAGGCTCCAAGGCCAGGACATCAAACGCGCCAAGTATCACAGTATGTAAATGGCTAGCGCACAAGCGTGGATGTGAATCGCGATTTCCCGGTTTCTGTATCTGAATTTAATTCTTTAATTTCCTCGGCAAGCTACGCATGATTCAATGTCGTTCTCATTCTCTTCCCCGAGTTTTCCTCAGAAGCTCAACATACCTGTTCAGCACCCCTACGAGAACACTCTCTAGCATTGCATCTTTGTCTACGTGCTGCACTGGACAAGCCGTCCTCGCCTCACGGTTAGAGAAAATACCATATCCGGGCACTAAGCCAAGGGCTCAACGATTTCCCCGGGTCAGGGGGGAATCACTACCTCGGCCATTTTCGTCCACATCAGCAACCATGGTCATCGAAGACTCCAAGAGAACCCCATGGCGTCGAATGTGCGACAACATGGCTGACCTCATTGAGAGAAATTTGGAGACGGACGGGTTCCGTTACTGGGGTATCACCATGTACCGAACCACCTACAAGAGCGACGCGGACTGGGCGAAATTCCTCGATCGGTTCATAGGCAGTGTCCGCACAGAACTAGAAAGCGACGATGGGCTCGATATGTTAGATTCCTTTCGGCCTGTTGTGATGGAAGACGCGCGCCGCTTTGACGGGGCCACGCCTGATCAAATACGGGACGCTTTCAAGGAATGGGCGAGGGTGGCTTGCGAGACGGAGCAAGGGGTGCCATACAAACGTGCAGAGTGGGCGTACTCGGCCCGATATCGGCTGTGTATCTTGGTTGACGAGGAGGCGTTACAGTCTGTGCTGGATATACCGACCGAGGACTTGGAAGCGTATAATACTACTGGATTTGTGATTCTGATCAATGGGAGGTGGCCCCCAGAGTGGGACCCCGAAGAGTTGGCTGCAGGAGGGGGGCCAGACGATGGACACGAGCCAGTGTACGGCTGTACGTTGGACGAGATTGGCTGGATGAAGGTTCGATATGGTGAGGCGCAGACTGGAGCCTCCTCACGCATGACTGATGATGGGGATTGGAGCGTTGAGTATCGACGGCCGCCGGCCATTGGTTTTCACTTTTGAGCGGAGACCGGTCCTAACGCCCGAGCGATGTATTTTCTGGACAAGAATCATGTATATTACTGATCATTCTTCACCTCTACTGTAACTAATATTTTCTTTCCCTGCTATTCTGGTCTTGGTGCAGGTCTATGAAACGCCAACAGAAATGGCATAGCCAATATCCAAATACTGACAATCTGACCCAATCACCGGATTCCACTCGTACAGCTGCGCAAATGTTATTTCGAACGCACCCTCGACCGCCGCGCACCAGTCCCCGGAAACGACCGTGTAATATTCGTTGCAATTGGACGCGATGCCAGTCTGTGTAGGCGCACCAGCTGAGCTACTCGCCGTGGCCGTGGGACCCTTGATGCAGTAGGCATATCCGAGCCAAAGGTTCGTACATGTTTTTCCAACTATAGTTCGGAATTAGCTTGACTCATCTCTAGGGGGGGTTTTGATGGATGGGATCTTACTGCTGGGATTCCACTCATAGAGTTGGGCAAGAGTAACTCCAAACTCAGTCTCCATTGTCGAAAAATCATCTCCCGACTCGACGGTGAAGAACTCCTGGCACCCATAGATGTATCCAGTTTGTGTTGGGGCTACCGACGTAGCAGTAGCGGTAGTACTACTAGGGGTTGTGGTGGCAGTAGTTGACGTGCTCGAACCCACCCCAATACAGACGGCACGAGTATCGGTATCGTTAAGACTAGCGTACAGATTTGTGTCACAGTCTGTGCCGAGCCAAGGGTTCCACGTAAGGAGTTGGGCTTCCGTGATATCGAAGTCTTCGTCAATATCAGCACATTGGTATTCTAGGCAAAATCAGTATCATGAAATGCGAGTGCCCTATTCCTTCACTTCTTTTGTTCGTTGTCATCCATACCTCCTTTATCGTAGCCATTGACACCGGTGAAGCAGTTGCAGTTTGAGACAGTGGTAGACTCGGTGGCATTGAGGACAAGCAGAGAGAGCCAAGTCCGCTGTCACTACTGCTAGTGTCGTCACTGCCGGTTGCTATTTTCGCAAAAGAAAAGACGTGGCATTAGAGAAAGATCCGGAGAGAAATGGCAAAACGCGCAACAAGATCACTCACTGTAAGAACTATTGAGAATAGCACAATAACTGTACCCTGGCTGCATGGCACATAAGCTCAGATTAGTGTTGAGACTAGGGTTCCATTCTAGGAAATCGGCCGTTGTGACTTCATTCAGCCACGCAACCCACTTGCAAGAGTTGAGGTTATATGTGGTGTTGTCATAGTTGGCGTATCGTTGGCAGTTAGTAAGCGTGTCCGGGGCCGTAGGGAGATATGTTGGCGTGTAGACGAACCCCGGATCACTGGTCGCCGTGGGAATTGATGTATCGACGGCGGGGAAGCTGGCTGTTGTCACAGTGAACAAGGGCGTTGTGACTGGGTAGCCAGAGTAGGTGCTAATGTCTCCAACTGCGGCGATGCAGTAAGCCTCCCCGAGCTCGAGGTTGGTGCAATTGGCGTCAATATCTGGGTTGAGGAAGTAGAAGTCCACGAGGGAGATGGCATTGGCGACAGTGACCAGACTGCAATTATCCCCTTCTCCGACCTATGTATCATGTTAAAAATATTGCTGTGGGTCTAATATTTGTCGGAATCCCGAGGGGCAAAACTTACTGTATACCACAGACCACAATCTGTGGTAGATCCATTCAGGGCATTGGTGGGCGCAGGGACAGCGGAGGTGATACTTGTTGGATTCTGTACTGTGGAATTGCCTGACATGTCGGTGGTATGATTAAGATAGCCTCCAGGAGGACTAAACGTTGGGATCGTAATTAGCATACCGTGGCCTGGTAGATAGAGGGCAAGAAGAGAACCAGGGATTGAACTCACCCGACGCAAACCACATAGTCAATATAATTGACGGCGTTCTGGCACAAAGCATTGAAGTTGGGGTTCCAGGCCAGGAATTGCGGAATAGTGACATTGGACAAGCCACCGACCACACTCTCACCGGATTCTAGCACTAGAGGCCGTATTAATATTAAATGGTATAGGTGGAGGGTGCTTAGTCTATGTTTTCTTACCGATACTTAATGTATTGTGTTCTTCTTTAGCATATTATTCTATAAGGTATGGCCTTCTACTTTGTTTCTTTCGCTAGGGCGTCTAATTACCTCTCTGTATCGGTAGTCTAGGATTTTAGGCGGCGAAAGACTATCTTACTAAAGCTCATAGTGCTAGCTGTTAAAGTTTTAATGATTTAGCGTTCCTATGATACGCAAATTTAAGAGGCTCTAGATAGATAGGAATCGAAGTAGGAGGTACATTATACCATAGCTCCCCATCACACGAAGGTTCCACACTAGAGATTCTCGATGAAGCAGCGAAGTCCTAGCTAGGTTGAAGCTCTCTAATCTCTTGTTTCTATGCTCCATTAAGAGAAAACGGCGTAAGGAACTATATCTTAGATTTCAGTCGCAGTCGCGTGAGCAGACTGAGCTCATAGTAATGAGTGCTCACAAGGGAGTACTCAATGACTCCGTACTTCTCAAAAACGGGTATAGCAAGAGGCAGGTGCTCCTCAACGACCCAGTTGATGAATGCCTCGTGAGAGTGTTGTTGTTGGCGATAGTGGGTGATCGTGAATTTCAGAGGTCGGCTTCCTAAGACTTCGGACACCTTGGTAATGTTGTGGGGTATACGATGGTGCCGCTTGTTTGTTGTTGACATAGGCATGAGAGTTACATTTGTGATTGAACTTTAGTCGTAGGCCGATTGGCAGACTAATTCGACACAAGCGCATATCTCATGACCAAGTTATCCCTCAAGTGACAGTGTGATGCTCAGAGACCCCGTGTTCCAGCTGGAAAAATAACCTAATCATATTACATGGGAGTTCAACTAAGAGGTCAGTGTCCCGGTCCGTGCGAAGAAGCCGCCGGGAGTGCGTGGGAAGTGGGGCGTGGGAGTTAAAGAGTAATAGTCGAAGATGAACGATTGGGACCCTCATTTCACCCGTGGCTGCCGCCACATGTTTGGCAAACGGCACCTTGCATCATTACATTAAACCAAAAAAGGAACATTCTACGTCGCCTGCATTAGCCCTGGTAGTTTGGAGGCTAATTTCTCACTATTTTCACACATCGTCCAATCTCTTCTTCTCAACCTGGCTGCGCCATCTTCGTTGAGCTCTTCTCTTCTGTACACAGAGTTTAAGACATGGGTTTCACTCTTTATGTATCCCACAATTGGGTTGTAATCCCGTGTTTATAAAATGAGACCAACAGGTGAGATCATCTATACTGCGATTTTCAACCCAAACAGCTACAAAAAGATAAATAAACCCAGCGCAAAGTCAAACAAAATCATAATATTTTGACCTATCGCTGGAAAGCGGCATCGCTCGAGCTGTCTTGCACGTCAAAATCGCAGACCCGGTCTTCTACGAGCTTTGTCTCGGTGAAATTTCGAGTCAATGGTGGGTGGACTGCATGTGAGGCTTATCATATTGGTCTAGGTCCATCTAACATACGGAATGGTCTATACCAAGACTGCCAAGCAAAAGGGATCATCAACAGAAGAGAAACTAAGCCAACAGGAGCGCGTCTTATCACCCGAATAACTGCATCATATAGGGAGCCTACAAGTAATCCCAGCCACCAGCGTCACCTTAGTCCATTTAGAACCAAACCCTTTCCCCTCTTCGTTCTTCTTTTCTCTTTTAAGTTGCCCCTGGCGTCGCTATGTACTTCAATCCCGAAAAGATGCTTCTCCCATTTCTTTACCCCGCAGCCGCGATCTTCATACTTGCTGCCCCAATTGAAGCCACATGCTACAATCCCGACCGGACAGTCGCGTCCAACACGGCGCCTTGTAGCAGCGATAATGCCACTTTCTGCTGTGGGACGGGCTCAATTTGTCTCAGCACCGGATACTGCCTCAGTGCGACCACCCAACCATTTACGCTATATCGCGGTTCCTGCACGGATTCTGGTTGGGGAAGTTTCTGCGCTTATTATTGCGGTCGGTTTCTGTCTACCTCTAGGCTAGTTTGCAAATTTCACTGACACTGCGCAGTAAATTACCAGACCGGCTCCAACGCCCCGATTGTCAGCGTGGGACTGAATAATGACAGCCGCGCAGCTTACTGCTGCGGCTATCAAAGCGAAAATAATAATGCTACTAGGTGCTCCAATGGAGATGCGCCCTTTGTCCTGGATGACGGAGAGATGATATTCGGTCGGGCTGCGCTTGTTAACGTTACCGCCAGTCGGCCCGAGCCGTCCACAACCGGAACCACCAATACTAAGGGCGGAAACGAGGGAAACGGAGAAACCTCCTCACACAATAGCACCACAGCAATTGGGGTCGGCGTCGGCGTTCCACTGGGCATTTTGGCACTGTGTGGTGTCGCTTGGGCCCTCATTGAGCGACGACGAAGTAGGCGACGCCAATCGACCATGAGTGGGGTTGCGCAGGCGACTGAACAGGTTTACATGCCTCCGCAACGAAAGTATGGCCCGACAGAATTGTATCAGCCGACGAACACGAACTCAGATACATTGATTCATGGGTCCCCTCTCGCGGAGGTTATGGGGTCTGAAGCGCGACGGGATTGACCTGGCCGTGGAGCGACGCTCTTTTAGGGAAATCAGGTTTATTTTTATTTTTATGTTTATGGTAGACATGGAGATCAATGAAGATATGAGTAACTGACAAGTTATTTTACTGTATACACCATGAATTCCATGCATTTTCGGCCCCACTCTATGCAGATTCACCTCAGATACAGACCTTTCCAACCCGAGTGATGATGCCTTGACCCGTGGCTGCACATCACAGTTTCCTCGTCTGATCCTCGGTCGATAACTAGCCATGGCAGACATAAACCAACAAGCAAGGATAGGAAGTAACGTTAGGCTTGGCTTGGTAGCCTGGGCAATATAGCAGAAAAGTTGACATGCCATGGGCTTGTCCAGGAGGGACATCTTTTTGGGTGGGCAGGGTAGGTAAGCTTACCCTTAACACGATACCTATTATTAAATAAGTCTATTGTGTACGGGGTAGAATTGCTCCGGATCGTAGTGAGTTAGCGTAGCGTCTCTTTATCGATCTACCCTTGGACTGGTAACGTTACTAATTCACCAACACATAGACAACTGCTCATGTAGTACAAGGTTTGCCGTGGTCGAAGATCATCGACACCGATGGTGATTCCTATTAAACCGTCGTTGCCACCATGTTGATATGTATACGTGATCTTCTTTTCAACACGTGCTCATGGCAGGTTTCATACTGTAGGTGTTGCACTCTATGATCGATAGGCACATTACGGTCGATAGGCCGTAGCATAAACCGCCTTTATACATCGCAGCAGAATAACATCGCCGCTCAGACTCACGCCCGAGCGACATAAGACAAGACTTTCCATTTATCACAAGACTCCCGAGGTCAACCTGACCTCGGACAACAAATGTACATACACTATTATCATTATCACCGTCCACCCTTCTATGCTATACAACACATTCAGTCATCCCTAATTTTCACCTCCTTCCACGCCTGAATAGCAACAACCCCCAATATCATCAAGAACAAGAAAATAAGAATAAACGTCCTCGAGACAATGCCACAAGACTTCTGTGCACTCTCGCGTCTCTCCCGTCGCTCACGTTGGCGATCACATTCAGCACAGTGAGCATGTTGATTATCCTGTGTTGACAGGGGGATCGAAGAGGGATCTCCGGTATGCTGATGTTGATGGGCTTGCTCAACGTCTACATCAGCTGTGTCGTCGATTTGACCGACCATGGCATACTATCCAGTTATTTAAAGTGATCAGTAACACACCACATGCTATGGGTATGCGACAAAGAATAAGCTAAGCACACCACTTACACCAGCGCGACCGCCACCAGGGCGCTCATGGAATAGATCCTCGTAAGCCGGGGCTGCTTCAGTGGGAGATGAATTGCCCATGATGAAAATGTATGTTCAGGTCGTGTTGGATGGACTAGTGGTGGTTGTAAGGCGGGGTGGAGAACATTTAAAGAATCAGAGGCTAGGCAACAGTTGATTAAAACGGTTTAGTGGGGAAGTGTGGCTTAGTGACTTTGTATACCGTATGTACCTCTATGAAGTCATCTATACTGTAGTTATGTACAAAACCATTGCGAGGTACAATATTTGGCGAGAATCTATGGTCGTAGACCAAACAAGATCATGATATCTGTATGCACTTTCCGCCCCCACCCTTAGTTAAAAACGCCCGAGACAGCCCTGGCAAAGATCCACACATGTAGCGCACTTAAGAGCGGAGTGCCCCAGCCCTCCGATGACATCGTCACCTTCATTCGTCTTAAGTGTTGAAGGTAACTATCCCGCTCTCTACATATAACCCTCCCTTCCCCATTCTCATGAACCGAAACCGTTTAATACAATACTCTCACACACCCTATACACCCTATCCTCTGTGCAACCCTACTTAAAAGGTGGACTATAGTTAACCCAAATCCCAAACAGCCTCGCTATCCAACTCCGACTCCGACTACACAGTCATCCCTCCAAAATGGTCTTCGCATGGCTAAAAGCCCTCGTCACATCCACATCAGAAGAGAAACAACCCCAATCATCAAAACGAGAGACCAGATCACACGGTCGATCACATAGCAAAAAGGTCCGCGATCGGGAACGCGAGTTGCGCAGGGAGTGGACTGGTCAGAAGGGGGATTGGAATAAGTTTCAGTCAAAGGGGGGTGCGTTTGTTGGAGGTGTATGTTGAGTTTCAATCTGCTGCGTTCTTGTTCTATTTCTTTATCTATTTGCTTGCTGATATAATACCATGAGGTGTGCCTACGCTGATGCACAGGCATGATCTAAATCTGCATTTGCATTTACAATTATGATGACGATGTATAAGACGGGAGAAAGGTGGTAAAGTAGAACAGATAGATTATCATGTTGAAATTTGATATAGGACATATAGTAAATGCTGAGATGAATCCTAAAAAAGCAAACAAACAAACACCATGCAACAGAGAAACAGTGAAACACTAACAACTTATAAGAAAAAAGAAACAAGACAAAGCATCACATCATAATAGATACTCTAATCAAGTAATCAAAGACCAAGCCTATATTTAAGCAGAGCCAAGATACTTGAGCACATTCTCACGCTCCTCAACAGGCAGCATAGAAAGAACCTGCTGAACACCACGAAGGCCACCCTCCTTGTTACCAATAAGCAGCTGAGCAACCTCAGAAGCGACGCCCTCGGTACGGAGAGCCTCGACCTTGTTCTGCACCAGCTTCTTGTTCTCCTCATACCAAGTAGCGACCTTTTGGTCGTTGTGCTCGAGCTCGTCATCGAGCAGACCAGTCCAGGCGTGCAGGGTGCGGAGGTGGGTAGCGCGCGGGGAGAGGTCAGGGGAGTCGGTCGTAGTAGTAGCAGCGGGAGAGCCAGAGGCGGCGACCATGCGCTTGACGATGAGCTCTTCGCTGAGACGGCGGCGCAGACGCCAGTAGAAGAAGCGGCGGGCGTTTTGCCATTGCAGGGGCTTGCGGATGGTGTTCTTGGCTTCCATGCGACCGGCGCGGTCGTGCAGGTCGGCGAATTGGAGGGCGATCTGCATGTACACGGGCAGGAGCTGCTCTTCGCGGGCGGCCATCTTGCTCTTGATCTCGGAGAGTTGCTCCTTGGTGAGGGAGGTGTCTCCCAGAGCGCGGCGGAGCTCGCCGTAGGCTGTGTCCAGGCGGGCCATGGTGTCGAGCTGCTTGTCGCGGCGGTACTTGATGCCAACGATACCCTCGGGTTCGAGGACACCTCCACGGGCGTCTTCGTCGGCGTACATCTCCATCTGGTCCGGGTTGATGGTGGGGTCGACGACAACCCAGGATCCACCGCGGAGCTCGCCGTGGGGAGGGATGTAGACGAAGATGGGCTGCTCGTACTTGACGAGAGCATCGACAATGTAGGAACCATACTTGAGGACCTCGTTGTACATGTCACGCTGACCTCCGGAGAATCCTCTCCAGTTGGCGAGGATCATGACGGGCAGCTGCTCTCCGTTGTTGAAATCGCGCAAGGCCTGGGCGGTCTTGAAGGCGGAGTTGGGATACCAGACACCACCGGCCTCAGTGGAGATCATCTCCATGGAGTCGGGGTTGGCGGGGTCGGCAGGGGTGACGTTCTCGACGGAGCGGGTCTCGACGGCGATCACACCCATGGGGATACCACCAAGACGGGCACGGCCAACAACGACAGTGCGGGCCCAGCCACCGAGGGCCTCCTCGAAGGAGCCCTTGTCGAACAGGCCAGGCAGGAAGCCGTCAGCATCCTCCTTACCGCCGATGAGATGGCGGACATCATACGGCTGCTTGGGAGGAGGGAAGAAGGCGACATCACGGTCCCAGTCATCGGACCAGGGGCGGATGGGGATGGGAGCACCCTTTTTGTCGGGGACGAAGGACATCCACTCAACAATCTTCTGGACACCCTCGAAGTCGTCGTTGGCGGTCATGTGGGAAACACCATTCTTGTACATAATCTGGGTACCACCGAGCTGCAGGTTGGAAGTATAAACCTCGCGACCGAGCAGCTTGTTGATGGCAGGGGCACCAGTGAGGATAATGGGCTGGCCCTCAACCTGGATGGCACGCTGACCTAGACGAACAAGGTAGGCACCGATACCGACAGAACGGCAAGTAACCAGGGTGATGGTGAAGATGTCCTCGTAAGCCCTGGAGGTGGCACCGGCAATGAGACCGGAGCCCTTCAGACACTCAACACCAAGACCATCCTTGGCACCAATGACGGTGGTGATCTTGTGACGCACCTCACCCTCATCAGTGATCTCCTCAGTGATGACCTCCTTCTTCTTGCTGGCATCGAAGCGCTTCTTGACCTCAGGGGTGAGGTAGAGGTACTTGAAGCCGGCCTCGGGCTTCTCGGGGTTGTTCCAGGCAACGGAGAAGAAGGGGATCAGCTCATCGGCCATACCAATGCGAGCACCGGAGTTGGCAGACAGGTAGATACGAGGAATACCCATCTTGCGGGCGAGCTCAGTGCACTTGTGGAAGAACTTGTCTTCCTGAGGACCGAACGAACCAATCTGGAAGGTGATGTCGTTGGCGACAATGATGAAACGTCTGCCGCGGGGGTACTCAGGAGTACGGGCAGTGACGATCCAACCAACCATACCGTGGGAGTTGGTACCGGGCTCGCGAGACACCTCGACCAGATTGTCGGTGTCATCGAAGACAAGCTCGCTGTAGTCAATGCACTCGCCAACAGGAGGACGCTTCTCGTACAGAGAAGGAATCTTCTCGGCAACCTTGGTCCAGCTGTTCTGGAAGGCCTGGCGGAAGAGCTCGGGGAAATCGTACACGTATTGGGTTCCCATCAAGTGAGCCTTGTAACGCTTGGGCTGCAGCCATTCCTTGGTAGGGTAAGGTGTGGAAACAGGGCGCATGTGCATGGAGCCCAGCTTGGTGGTGCCACCAATGCTCTGGAAAATCCACTCGCCCTTCTCGGACTTGCGCTCGATGTACAGCTCAACGTTGATGATGAAACCGTAGGTGTTGCTGATAATCACACGCAGTGGGTAAGGCATGCCGGTAGCCGGGTCAGTGCAGAGGATACGGATCTCAGCACCGGTGACGCGGAGACGCCACAGGCGGCGACCGAAGCGGTCGAGGAAACCGGCAAGGGCCTGCTCGACATCGACGGGCTGGAGGTTGAAGACGGGGGAGAAGTTGATGAAGATGTGGTTCAAATCAGAGTTGTTGTTGCCAATAATCTCCAGAGCGTCCAGGATGTCGTTCATCAGGCGGTCAGCCTCCGAGATCAGGTACTCGGCGGTGGGGATATCGTCGCGAAGACGGCCGGGACGAACGACAGCGCGGATGAAGTAACGCTTGTCAATGGCCTTGTCGTTCTCGGGACCCTTGCCAATAGCCTCGTAAACGTGGATGTTGCGGTTCTCGGTGAAGACGGGCTTGATGTTGAACTTGCTCAGACGGCCAAGCTCCAACTGGAAGGCAAGAGCAGGCTCGCTGTGACGGATACTCAGATCCTCCTCGTAGTGGGGACCACGGAAGGTGAAGTAGCCGGGGTAAACACCCTGCTTGCCACAGATGAAGGTAACACGACGGATACGGCGGGCTAGGAGCTCGTCCTTGCAGTCGGCAAGCATCTTCTGCATCTGGGCAACGATCTCGGAGTCATCCTGCTCCTCAATATCGCGAATAGCGATGTTGCAGACACCGGTGAGCTCGCCGTCGCTCTCGGGCTTGGGAATGGGGCGACGCTTGCCCTCAAGGTTGGCAATGAGACCGTGCTCGCTGGGGCGCTTGGCAGAGCCGCCAAGAGGGAAAGCCTCGAGAGCCTTGGAAAGGTACTCCTCAGCGTCCTCCAGGTACTGCACAGGGATGATAACACCCTTACGAACGGGGTCGCTGGTAGGGTCGTTGACAAGGTAAGACATGTCGCTGATGGAGTTGATCCGCTTGAAGGGGTTGCTCTCGGCAATGGGGGTACCAGGGGCCGAGGGTTGGGTGGAAGAAAGCGATCCGAATTCAGGCTGGCCGAGCTTGCCGAGGGTGAAGTCCCATGACAGGAAGGGCTGCTCACTGGAAGAGTGGTACTCAATGCCCTTGAGAGTGTAGGCACGGTAGGCACGGCGAATGTAGACTTCCAGAGAGGCGAGGGTCACCCAGGGGTCGGAGTGGACGAAGAAGCGGGGCAGCACATCGAAGACGGTGTACTTGGAGTCAACGACCTCCTTGAGGACCTCGAAAGCAGGCTCACGGTGCTCCCAACCGGTCTCGCCGTAGCGGGACTCAACAACAGAGGACTTGAGAATGTGCTCCATCTGGGAGAGACGCTCCTCGAGAGAGGGCATAGCACACTGGATCAGAACCTCACGGGCTTTGAGGGTGACCTTGGCGGAGGAGCGAGACTCGAGCTCGGTCAGCTTCTT